ACCTGCAGTCTCTGTTACTCGGGAGGTTGAGTGGGGAGGATCGCTTGAGCCTGGGAGGTCGAGGCTGCAGTCAGCCATGATCATCACACCACTGCCCTCCAGCCTGGAGCCTGGGAAACAAAAAAAAACCTTGCACAAAAAAAAAAAAAAGAAAAGAAAAAAAAAAAAAAGAGAGAGAAAAGAAAGAAAAAGAAAAGAATCCAGAGTGTTCAAATCCTAGAATCCAGGCCAGAGACACCTTTAGAACACAACCAAATAATAAAAACAGTAATGATACCAGTAATAATAATAGCAGTATATACGACACTATAATCATGATTCTGCAGAAGGGGTGAGGGAAGAAGAGGAGGGAAGAAGAGGACGAGAAAGGAGAGGGAAGGGAGGTCAGCCACTCCGTCTCCCCATTTTCCAGATGCAGAAACGGAGGCGCCGAGCCAGGCTGCAGGGGTGTCCCGCAGCCTGAACTGCCTCGGCCTCCCGGGTTCAGCCACTACATTCATCAGTCAGCGCTGCTGGGGGGGCCCCAAAGACCTTTGAGGCCGCATGACGCGGTGTCTTCACCCGCTCGTCGCTGGGGACGGCAGTGGGCACCCCCCTCGTCCCCGCCCCCCTGCCCGCCGGCGCGCCGCCCACGCCCTCCGCGCACCCACGCTATAAATAGCCTCATGCGTGTGACCCGAAGCCCGCTGGAGCCCGCTGGGGAAGGGTGGTGCTTCCGTCCCGCTGACCCTGATACCGCAGCCCCGGCGCGGGCTGGGAGGTGGCGGGATGTGACGACGAAGACGGTGACTCAGGACCATTTACTGACCGGGGAAGACGGGGAGAGAGACTCGGTTTCTTCTCTGAGCGCCCTTCCTCCTCCAAGCCCCCCCGCCCGAGACCACCCTCCTCTCTGCACCTATCCCCCTTCCCGAATCCCCTCCCCCACCGCGAACCCCCTTCCCTCCTGAGAACCCTCCCTCCACTCCCGGCCCCCTTCCCTGTCCCCTTTTCCCTCTGAGACCCCTCTCCCACTCGGAGCCCCAGCAATGAAATCGTGGATGTCCTCACCCTGGACCTCGGCAGGGCGCTAAGGGCTGGAGCCTGGCTTCAGCTGTCAGAGGGTACAGCCCTCCAGCCGGTCCCCCACTGCCTGAGGACCCCAACGGAGATCATTCCCCTCCAGCCAAGAGAGGCTGCAGGAAGGAGCTGAGGCTTAGGGAAGAGGAGCCAATTGACCAAGGGAGGGGCACAAGAAGGACAGAGACAGTCAGAGAGAGAAGGGGAGAACAGAGAGGAAAAGAAGTCGACCAGAGTGGAGAGAAATAGAACAGGGAGGAGGGAGATGAGAGACAGGGATGGGGAAAGAGAGAGAGGCTCACACACACAGAAAAGATCAAGGAGCTACTGGGCTCCCCTCTGAGCCTAAATCCATGGTTTATAAAACGGGGCACAGTTGGAGGAGCTTCAAGTGAGCCCAGCTCAGGCTAGACCCCAGTGAGGCCCCTCCAGAGCCTGTCACTTTCCCACCCCCATACGCATCCCCACCCTTCTCCCCCAACTGCCTCTCCTTTCCCCAGTGTCTCCACCTGCCTGCCCCCCCAGTGGAAATCTTTCCCTCTCTCTCTTTTATTAATAATAATAAATAATATTATATTATATTATTTTATTTTATTTTATTTTTTGGAGACAGAGTCTCGCTCTGTCACCCAAGCTGGAGCGCAGTGGTACGATTTTGGCTCACTGCAACCTCCACCTCCCGGGTTCAAGTGATTCTCCTGCCTCAGCCTCCCGAGTAGCTGGGACTACAGGCGTGCACCACCACGCACAGCTGATTTTTGTATTTTTAGTAAAGACAGGGTTTCACCATGTTGCCCAGGCTGGTCTCGAACTCCTGACCTTATGTGATCCACCCGCCACAGGCTCAAAGTGCTGGGATTACAGGTGTGGGCCACCATGCCTGGCCTCTTTCTCTCTTTTAAATTATTAATTTTAGACATGGGATCTTACGACATTGGCTAGGCTGGTCTTGAACTCCTGGGCTCAAGGGATCCTTCTGCCTTAGCCTCCCTAGTAGCTGGGATTACAGGCATGTGCCTCTATGCCTGGTGCTCTCGCTGTCTCCTTGTGTCTCTATTTCTCTCCATCTGTCCAGACTCTCCTCTCTTGCTTTCACACCCATCATTTCTTCCTCTCTCCTCTCCCTATAAGAGTCCCTCCAGCTATGGGTGCCTTTCTCAGCCTCTGTCAGCATCCCCTCCACCCCCAACCCTGTCACCATTCTCCCTCCTGCCCCTTCTCCTGCCCACCCCTTTCACAGAGAGTCCCCACCCCTCCAGACTGGACCTCCTCCAGGAGCCAGGCCCAAAGCTCCTGCTGGGCACATTCCTGAGTGTTCCTGAGCCTCTTTCAGTCCCAGGGGTGAGGTGCTGGGTGGATGCCCTCCCTGGGGGTTGGGTGGAGCTGAGGATGTGAGAGAGAAAACCAGACCTAGAAAAAAAAAAAAAAAAAGACAGAGATGGAACCAAACTGAGATGAACCAGAGAGAGGGATTCACTTGCCCACGGTCACACAGCTCTGGAATCTGAACCCAGCTCAAACCAGCACTCACCTCTCTCAAGGCCCAGCCAAGGACTGCAGTACAGTTGCACAATCTCGGCTCACTGCAACCTCTGCCTTCCAGATTCAAGCGATTCTCCCGCCTCAGCCTCCCGAGTAGCTGGTATTACAGGTGCGTGCCACCACGCCCTGCTAATTTTTGTAGTTTTAGGATAGACGAGGTTTCCCCATGTTGTTCAGGCTGGACTCGAACTCCTGACGTCAAGTGATCCACCTGCCTTGGCCTCCCAAAGTGCTGGGATTACAGGCATGAGCCACCGCGCCTGGCCAGGAACAGACAGTCTTCACTGACATGTGTTTAGGGCCATCACACTTCCCCCGCTCTTCATGAGAATTATCTCTTCACTGGCTCCACTCAGGTGCCTTTTGTGAGACAGAAATTCAAGCGATGAGGACAGAGATACAAACCCGGGATGGGAGGCTATGACATCTGCCCATAGAAACACAATTCTGTTTCTAGGAATTTATCCTTCAGCTCGCTAGTACACACTCTTCAAGACATACTGAAAAAACATGAAGGATTAGAACAGTGGGTGTCAAATGCTACCATTTGTCTTGGAAATCAAGCAAGACGAACGTGGGTATGATTGCCGACGCATGGACCATCTCCAGTGGTACAAGGAACTGCCAACGTTGATTGCATCTGGGAGGGAGACGAAGAGCTGGGATGGAAAGAGCTTTATTCTCGGTGTCTAATCTTTTGGTTGTTTTGGATTTTACAACATGTGCATGCACTGCCTACACAAACAAAGACACTAGTTTGAAAAGGAAAAAGGGAGAAGAAAAGAGGGAAAAAACAAAAGGGGCAGGTGCAATGGCTCACGCCTGTCATCCCAGCACTTTGGGAGGCCAAGGCAGATGGATCACCTGAGGTCAGGAGTTCGAGACCAGCCTGGCCAACATATAGTGAGACCCAGTCTCCACTAAAAAATGCAAAAATTAGCTGGCCCGTAGTCCCAGCTAAATTGCTTGAACCTGGGAAGTAGAAGTTGCAATGAGCTGAGATGGCACCACTGTACTCCAGCCTGGGCAACAGAGCAAGACTCGGTCCATCAAAAAAAAGAAAAAGAAAAAGAAAAAAAGAAAGGAAAAGGAGGGAAGAGCTCAGTGTGGGAGAAGATTGGGGGTGGGAGTAGAGAATTAGTGGAGGAAAAAGATGTGGAGGACAAAAGCAAGGTGTGAGAGGTGTTGGCAGTGGAAACTGAATACCCGTTGAGAAGAGCCAGGATGGGGTGAAATGGCTTATGAATCTCTTGGGGCTGTGGGATTATGTGAAATGTGAGAAGACTGGACCTCGGCGGGGGCGGGGGGCGGTGCCTGACATATATTCAAGTTGCACCTCCCACAAGCAAGTGGGGCTGGACAATCTCTGTCAACCCTCCAGCCAGGACCCAGGTGTCTCCACGTGCATTACGTTTGGTTGTTGTTGGGACAAGAGTCTCACCCTGTCGCCCAGGCTGGAGCGCAGTGGCATGATCTTGGCTCACCGCAACCTCCACCTCCTGGGTTCAAGTGATTCTCCTGCCTCAGCCTCCCGAGTAGCTGAGACTATAGGCGCCCACCACCACACCTGGCTCATTTTTGTATTTTTAGTAGAGACAGGGTTTCACCATGTTGGCCAGGTTGGTCTCGAACTCCTGACCTCAGGTGATCTACCTGCTTCAGCCTCCCAGAGTGCTAGGGTTATAGGTGTAAGCCACCGCGCCTTGCCCTCCACAAGCATTTTGACAGCCAGCTCTCTGGGTTGCTATGTTCCACCTCACCCAGCCTTCTTTGAGGCCTTCCCAAACCCTGGGAGCATTTGATATCGCAGACTGAGCTGGACAATTGAGGGAGAGGTCTTGCTGACCTGACAGGGCTGGTGGAGTCATCAGAGATTGTCTTTATCCTCGCCTTCTTCTTCTCCACCTCCTCAACTTCCCCTCTTCTTCTGGGGCAATCCTGGAGGGCTTCCTGTAGGAGGCCTCTCCCACCATCTGCCCAGCTCTTTCTTTCTAATCTTGTTCAATTGTGGGTAAAGGCACAGCTAGTTGGGAGCTTGGGGAATTTGATGGGGACAGGGGACGCAGGGAGGGGGCAGGTAGGGAATGCTCTCAGGGTCCAAATTTCCTTCCATTCTAGGGTTGCCTGTACTTATCTGTCTGATGGCTTCTCTCTCTCCCTCTCATCCCTGCCTCCTCTTTCCTACCTCTCCTCCTCCCCTTGTCTCTGTCTCTGACATTGTTTCTATCTTTATCTTTTTTAACATCTGTCTCTTTTGCTTTTTATCTTTGCCTGTCTCTCCTCTGTGTCTCTCTCCTTATGTCTCTGTCTTGATGTGTCTCTGAATCTCTCTGTATCTTTGCCTTTCTTCTCCCCACATCTCTCCCGTCTCCCTTCCCTATCTCTGTCTCTCTCCACAGTCAAAAAAGCCAAGTTTGATGGTGCCCAAGGTAAGTGGCTTCTTTTGCTGTCCTGTCCCATGTTGTTTGTCTATTTGTCTGTCTGTCTGTCTCTTGGAGAAACTGGGGAGGGGGTCCCAGCCCAGACTTAGACTTGGGCTTTATGTCTTCGGAGTATCAGGAGAGGGGTCAGAGGATTAAATAGGGAGAGGGGCAGCTCTTGGCCTGGGATCCCTGCAGTTTGTGTGGGGGTCCGCGGGTCTCCCCAGCCACCCTTGGAGACTCTGTAACAGGTGGGGCTTGCCCTGAGCCAATGGCTCTTCCCAGGGTCCTAAGAGGCAGAATGGGGACTCTTAGATGGGGCTACAGGTGGGAAAAATGAAGCTGAGAGGCGAAAGGAGTTTCTTTCTTTTCTTTCCTCATCCTCCTCCTCCTCCTCCTCCTCCTCCTCCTCCTCCTCCTCCTCCTCCTTCTTCTTCTTCTTCTTCTTTTTTTGAGACAGAGTCTCCTTCTGTTGGAGTGCAGTGGTGTGATCTCGGCTCACTGCAAACTCTGTCTCCAGGTTAAAGCAGCGATTCTCCTGCCTCAGCCTCCCAAGTAGCTGGGATTACAGGCGCTTTCTACCACGCCCAGCTAATTTTTTTTTTTTTTTTTTTTTTTGAGGCAGAGTCTCGCTCTGTCACCCAGGCTGGAGTGGAGTGGCCAGATCTCAGCTCACTGCAAGCTCCGCCTTCCGGGTTCACGCCATTCTCCTGCCTCAGCCTCCCGAGTAGCTGGGACTACAGGCGCCCGCCATCACGCCCGGCTAGTTTTTTGTATTTTTTAGTGGAGACGGGGTTTCACCGTGTTAACCAGGATGGTCTCGATCTCTTGACCTCGTGATCCGCCCGTCTCGGCCTCCCAAAGTGCTGTTATTTTTAGTAGAGATGGGGTTTCGCCATGTTGGCCAGGCTGGTCTCAAACTTCTGATCTTAAATGATCCGCCCGCCTCGGCCTCCCAAAGTGCTGGGAATGCAGGCGTGAGCTGCCTTGCCCTGCCTTTTTGGTATTATTATTTTTTTTATTTTAAATTTTTATTTTTTGAGGCTGGAGTGCAGTGGTGCAATCAATGAGCCTTACTACAGCCTCAACCTCCCAGGCTCAAGCAATCCTCCCACCTCAGCCTCCTAAGTAGCTGGGACCACAGGTGGGTGCCACTCTACCCAGCTAATTATTTTTTGTATTTTTAGTAGGGATAGGGTTTTGCCAAGTTGCCCAAGCTGGTCTCGAACTCCTGGGCTCAAGCAATCCTCCCGCCTTGACCTCCCAAAGTGCTGGGATTACAGGCGCGAGCCACCGTGCCCAGCCTGCAAAGGGGGTTTCTTACAGTCAATGTTGTTCCCCTTTTCTGGGACCTCAGTCTTTTTAGCCAAAAACCAATGACATGGCCATTTCGAAGCAGCTGGATGAAGTATCCCAAAATTCCATGTCTCCCAGCACTGAGGCCCCTCCCTTGTGCCCTGAGGGTAGGGTTTTGGGTTAGGGGATGAGTGACCCAGAAATTCCCGAAGGGATCATAGCAGATCGTCTAGAGCTTGGGAAGGGCATTGGAGAGTCCCTGAGCCCCAGCGCTGACCCCTGCTCTCACTGCCACAGAGAAATTCAACACGTACGTGACCCTGAAAGTTCAGAATGTCAAGAGCACGACCATCGCGGTGCGGGGCAGCCAGCCCAGCTGGGAGCAAGATTTCATGTTGTGAGTCTTCAGTGTCTGGCATGACCTGGGCCCCTGGCATAGCCCAGCACCTCGCTGGCCCCTCAGGGCTAGTTGGACACCAGGGAATCCCAGGCGACTCCCGTCTGTCCTCCCTCTTCCCATGTCCACCTTATCACCCTCGCCTCCAAAGCACATCCCCAATCCAATCCCTTCCTTTGGTCTCCGTGGCCACCAGCCGAGTCCCTGCTGCCCGCCAGCCTCCGCCCTGGCCTCCTGTGCCATCCACCTCCTACAATCTGTTCTCCAGGCAGCCAGGGGGATATTTTTAAAACTGCAAATCACATCCTGCCGCTCCCATGTTCCAAACTTGTCCATGGCTCATCGACCTCACAATAAAACCCACCGCCTTCCCAGCGGTTCCCACCAGCTTCTCGCTCTATCTCCCTCACCTGCCCCAGCCACACCCACCTCTGCCCCTTGTCTCCAACACCTCCCAGCTCGTTCTTGCCCCAGGGCCCTTGCACTTGCTTTCCTGTCCCCAGCTGGCTCTTCTCCTTCAGGTCTCAGCTTGTGTCACCTCCTCAGTGAAGCCCTCCCTGACCACCACCCCCGAGCTACAACTTCAGGGCATCATGCCTTCCCAGGCCTTGCCACCAGTTTTGTTTGTTTGTTTGTTTTGAGGCAGAGCCTCACTCTGTTGCCCAGGCTGGAGTACAGTGGCGTGATCTCAGCTCACTTCAACCTCCACCTCCCAGATTCAAGTGATCCTCCTGCCTCAGTCTCCCAAGTAGCTGAGATTACAAGCGTGTGCCACCACACCCGGCTAATTTTCGTGTTTTAAGTAGGGACTGTGTTTCCCTATGGTGGCCAGGCTAGTCTCAAACTCCTGGACTCATGTGATCCGCCCACCTCAGCCTCCCAAGGTGCTGGGATTACAGACGTGAGCCACCGCGCCTGGCCAACAGATTTTTTTTTCCTTTTTTTTTTGTCTGAGACAGAGTCTCGCACTGTCGCCCAGGCTGGAGTGCAGTGGTGTGATCTCGGCTCACTGCAAGCTCCACCTCCCGGGTTCACGCCATTCTCCTGCCTCAGCATCCCGAGCAGCCGGGACCACAGGTGCCCGCCACCACGCCCGGCTAATTTTTTGTATTTTTAGTAGAGACGGCGTTTCACCATGTTAGCCAGGATGGTCTCGATCTTCTGACCTCGTGATCTGCCCGCCTCAGCCTCCCAAAGTGCTGGGATTACAGGCGTGAGCCACCACGCCCGGCCTGATGTGAATTTTTAGTGGAAATGGGGTTTCTCCACGTTGGTCAGGCAGGTCTCGAACTCCCAACCTCAGGTGATCCACCTGTTGCGGCCTCCCAAAGTACTGGGATTATAGGCATGAGCCACCGCGCCTGGCCATATTTTAAAAATACATTCCTTAAGATATGTCTTTGGTGAACTGTAAATTCAGTGAATCTCACATTTCACTAAGTTTCCTGCTCCCCCGAATCCACATATGTCTAGGGCGAGGCCTGCAGGGAAAGTGCTTGGAGGTGGGATTGTGTCCTCACCTCATTAGATGGAGATGACACTGCAAAGGACAGAGGTGCCCCCAATATCCTTATCGTGGGGGTAAAGGGAGCTACAGAGGGTATTTGAGCCTCTTTCTCACTTGCCCAGCATGATCAGGGTTGGAGGGCCAAGGAAGGGCTCAGAAAGATGAAGGTGCAGGCGAGGTCTAACATCTGTTCCCAAGCCGTCCTTCCCAGCTTTGAATCCTGGTTCTTTTGTGATACCCCGAGCTCTTAACTGCCCACCCTGGTCTCAGTTTCCCCTCTATAAAATGAGAACCACCATGTTACCCTACCACCTAGGACACTCCCAAGCTTAGGTTTGAATTGCAGTATGCTGTGTGTTCTCAGGTGAATGAACTAACCTCTCTGGGCCCCCGTTTCCTCCCTCCTGCTCCCTCGATGCCCCTTCTCCTTTTTCCGCAGTGAGATTAACCGTCTGGATTTGGGACTGACAGTGGAGGTGTGGAACAAGGGTCTCATCTGGGACACAATGGTGGGCACTGTGTGGATCCCACTGCGGACCATCCGCCAGTCCAATGAGGTGAGTGGCGGGTGGCCTGAGGGTGAGGAAGGAGGAGTGCCTTGCAGAAGCCCAGAGACCAGTGGGCTAAACAAGATGGACATTTATCTCCAATCCCCCGACAACATCAATGTAGACACTTGGGATTGCCACGAACCTTCCAAAGTCACCAGGACCCATACCCCTTCCATTTTGCTCTGCCTCTCTCTCCTTGTGGCTTCCACCTTGTGGCCCCAAATGGCTGCTTTAGGCTCACCATTGCATCTTCATTCCAACCACAGAAAGGTGATGGTGGGGAGAAGGGGGGCGGTTCATGCACATCTCATTGGCCAGAACTTAGACATGTGGCCAACACCTAGCTGCAAGAGGTTCTGGGAAATGTAGTCCTAGACTGGACAATGTAGTCCTAGGTAGTGCAACCCTAGGCACAGCTAAAAATGTATTACCTTGGAAGGAGAAAAGGGGTAATGTAGGCAATTAGCATTTTGTGTCCCAGATGGGCAGCAGCAGGAAGGTTATACCAGCTCATAAGAAAGTGTTAGGTAACAACCGTGGCCCCTCAGCCTGTGCATCATGGTCAGCAGGTAGCAGTGATGTCTCTTTTTTATTTAATTATTTATTTTTGAGACAGGGTCTCACTCTGTTGCCCAGGCTGGAGTGCAGTGGCACAATCATGGCCCATTGCAGCCTCGACTTTCCAGGCTCAAGTGATCCTCCCACCTCAGCTGGGACTGCAGGTGCACGCCACCACACCCCCCTCATTTTTTTTTTTTTTTTTTTTTTTTTGTATTTTTAATAGAGACAAGGTTTTGCCATGTTGCCCAAGCTGGTCTCGAACTCCTGGGCTCAAGCAATCCGCCTACCTCAGCCTCCCGAAGTGCTGGTATTACAGGTGCGAGCCACCATGCCAGGCCGTGGTCATGTCTATTCATCCGTCCCTACAGCCCAACCTTGGCCTCCTGACCTTAAGTCTCAACCCCTCCATGCTGACCCTAGGAAGGTCTTATTAGCTGGAACTCTGATCTGTGCTCCCCTGTCCATCTGCCTTGGGAGGCCCCTCAGATGGCACCCGCCCACTAGCCTCATCTTCCCCCACACTCCAACCTCCACCCCTCCCAGATTGCAGCCTCTGAACCTTTGTATAGTGTGTTCCCTGAGCTTCAAGTGTCCTCCTTTCCATCACCCTCTAAATTCCCATGTGCCCTCCTCCAGGGACCCCTCTCTGACTTCCCTCTGGATCCTTTAGTCCTCCTTCCTCCCTCTGGGCTAGCTATGACCTTATGGGGCTGGGGGTGCCTGTGTCCAGCCTTGTTTCCCAGGGTTATGGGCTCCTCAGGGGCCAGGATGATGATGGCTGGGGCCTCTTGGGGACCCTTGCATCATCTACTATGAACTAGGCATAGAGGAGGGACTGGGGACTGTTTTTTGTTTGTTCGTTTTTGTTATTTTATTTTATTTTATTTTATTTTATTCTATTTTATTTTACTTTGAGACAGAGTCTCACTCTGTCACCAGGCTGGAGTGCAATGGCACAGTCTTGGCTCACTGCAACCTCCGCCTCCCTGGCTCAAGTGATTCTCCTGCCTCAGCCTCCTGAGTAGCTGGGATTACAGGCACCCTCCACCACATCCAGCTAATTTTTGTGTTTTTTAGTAGAGATGGGGTTTCACTATGTTGGCCAGTCTGGTCTTGAACTCCTGACCTCAAGTGATCTGCCCACCTCGGCCTCCCAAAGTGCTGGGATTGCGGGTGCCCGCCACCACACCCAGCTAATTTTTGCATTTTTAGTAGAGATGGGGTTTCACCATGTTGGCCAGGCTGATCTTGAACTCCTGACCTCAAGTGATCCGCCCACCTTGGCCTCCCGAAGTGCTGGGATTGTAGACATGAGGCACCACACCTGGCTAGTGAGTATCTGTGTTTGAATGAATGAGTGCAGAGGGACGAAATGGTTGCAACAGTCTAGGCAAGTGAGTCTAAAAGGAAGCCTTGGCCGGGCGCGGTGGCTCACACCTGTAATCCCAGCACTTTGGGAGGCTGAGGCATATGGATTGCCTGAGCTCAGTAGACCAGCCTGGGAAACATGGTGAAACCCTGTCTCTACTAAAAAATACAAAAATTAGCCGGGCGTGCTGGCGCACACCTGTAATCCCAGCAGCTCGGGAGGCTGAGTTAGGAGAATCACTTGAGCCTGGGAAGCGGAGGTTGCAGTGAGCCGAGATCACGCCACTGCACTCCAGCCTGGGTGATAGAGTGAGACCCTGTCTCAGAAAAAAAATTAATTAAATTAAATTTAAATTTAAATATATAAAAGGAAGCCTTGAGGGAGACCCAAAATTTCCTCAGTGGCCCTTCAAGTGTGAGGGGGGCCTGGTCACCTGGGGTGGCAGAAAGTGGATTCCACCGAAGGTCATTCCTATTTGAAAAATGAACAAACTGAGGTTCAGGGTGGACCCCAGTTGCTCAAAGGCTCACATTCCTGAGCCAGGGGAAATGGGCTCGTTGTCCTGGGGGACTTTCTCCCTGGATGCTGGGAGGCTCCAGGGTTTTTATCTGAAGTCAGAGTCTCATAACCCCTTATCAGGGGTGGGGAATGACCATGCCGGGCTGGGACTGCCCCTACATAACCCCAAGGGGCTCCCCCTCTGGGTCCTTTGCTTCGGGTTCCCCTGACTCACCATGTGGCCCTGGACTGAGACCTTCCCCTCTATGAGTCTCACTTTCCTCATGTGTAACATGGGACACAGCCAGGCACAATGGCATGTGCCTGTAGTCCCAGCTACTGGAAGCTGAGGCAAGAGGATCAGTTGAGGCCAGGAGTTCGAGATGAGCCTGGGCAACATAGTGACACCCCATCTCTAAAAAGAAAGAAAGAGAAAGGAAGAGAAGGAAGGAAGGAAGGGAGGGAGGGAGGGAGGGAGGGAAGGAAGGAAGGAAGGAAGGAAGGAAGGAAGGAAGGAAGGAAGGAGAGAAGGAAGGAAGGAAGGAAGGAAGGAAGGAAGGAAGGAAGGAGAGAAGGAGGGAAGGAGAGAAGGAAGGAAGGAAGGAAGGGAAGGGAAGAGGGAGAGGAGACACGACTTTTGTTTTGGGGTAGGGGTGAGGGGGATGTCTCATGTGAGAGTAGGGGCCCCAGGGACCAGCGTAGCAGATGCCTGACCCACACACCTCCTCCACCGACCTCCAGGAGGGCCCTGGAGAGTGGCTGACACTGGACTCCCAGGTCATCATGGCAGACAGTGAGATCTGCGGCACCAAGGACCCCACTTTCCATCGCATCCTCCTGGACACGCGCTTTGAGCTGCCCTTGGGTGAGTACCCAGGCACGGGACCTTCGCCCAGCCCGGCCCCACTTCTGGACTCACTCAGCTATTCCAGGAGAGTGAACAGGCTGAACCTGCTGCGTACAGGCCATGACCCAGACCCCGTACCTTCCCAATGAGCTGCAAATGTTTCACAAACCCACGGCACTCAGGGCTGAGCTATCCTGGCGGTTCCTTGGTGATGCCTGAGGCTGCAACAGTGAGCTGGGGATAGGAGGAGAGACAGACAGAGAGAGAGAGACAAAGAGAGACAGACAGAGACATATAGACAGAGGCTGAGAACAGATAGTCCCTTCTTCCTTTCCGGAAGCACCTCGAGTCTCTCCACCTCATTCTTCTAAGAACCCATGGCTGACCAGGCACAGTGTCTCATGCCTGTAATCCCAGCACTTTGGGAGGCTGAGGTGGGAGGATCATTTGAGGCCAAGAGTTTGAGGGCAGCCTGGGCGATCTAGTGAGATCCCATCTCTATGAAAAAGTTAAAAATTCACCAGGCGAGGTGGCTGCTGGGAGCAGGTGGCTCATGCCTGTAATCCTAGCACTTTGGGAGGCTGAGGCGGGTGGATCATGAGGTCAGGAGATCGAGACCATCCCGGCTAACACGGTGAAACCCCTAAAGTCTCTACTAAAAATACAAAACAATTAGCCAGTCTGGTGGCGGGCACCTGTAGTCCCAGCTACTGGGGAGGCTGAGGCAGGAGAATGGTGTGAACTCAGGAGGCGCAGTTTGCAGTGAGCTGAGATAGCGCCACTGCACTCCAGCTTGAATGACAAAGCGAGACTCCATCTCAAAAAAAAAAAAGAAAAGAAAAGAAAAAGAAATTCACCAGGCGCCTGTATTCCCAACTATTCAGGAGGCTGAGGTGGGAGGATAGCTCGAGCCCAGGAGTTTGAGGCTGCAGTGAGCTGTGATTGTGCCACTGCACTCCAGCCTGGGTGACAGAGTGAGACCCTGTCTCTAAAAAATAAAAAATAAAAACAATGGGCTGGGCATGGTGGCTCATGCCTGTAATCCCAGCACTTTGAGAGGCTGAGGTGGATGGATCACCTGACGTCAGGAGTTTCAGACCAGCCTAGCCAACATGGAGAAACCCTGTCTCTACTCAAAATACAAAAAATTAGCCAGGCGTGGTGGCGCATACCTGGAATCCTAGCTACTTGGGAGGCGGAGGCAGAAGAATTGCTTGAACCCGGGAGATGAAGGTTGCAGTGAGCCAAGATTACTCCACTGTACTCCAGCCTGGACAACAGAGTGAGACTCCGTCTCAAAAAAAAAATTTTTAAATTTTAAAAAATTAAATAAAAACAATGGCTTCCCCACCCTCATAAAGGCTAGGAACCATCTTCTCTCATCCTCCAACTATTCTCCATCCAGCTCTGGGAAGAGGGGCATCAGAGACACCACGGTACCTCCCCTTCATCTCCATCCACCCTCTTGAGACCCCAGACCAGCCCACCCCTACTTCTGAGGCTTTGCCAAAGACCCCAGAAACCAGGGTCTGTCTGGAGCTCAGTAGGCCTGGAGGATGGAGGCTGAGGGGCAGGGAGGAGCTTCCAGGCTCACGGACACGGCTCTGCTTGCAGATATTCCCGAAGAGGAGGCTCGCTACTGGGCCAAGAAGCTGGAGCAGCTCAACGCTATGCGGGACCAGGATGAAGTGAGTGTTGCGGTGGGAGGGGGCTGTTTTCTTCTTGTTTCTGTCTCTGTCTCCCCACGATTTTCACTTACTGATGCTGTTTCTCTCTGAGCTTGTCTTTCCCTGCGTCTCTGTTTCTAACTTTGTTAACCTGACTGCGTCCATGACTCATGTGGTCCAGTCTCAAGACAATGATGGGGTCAAGAAACATGCAGAGGCCAGGCGCAGTGGCTCATGCCTGGAATTCCAGCACTTTGGGGGGCCAAGGTGGGCAAATCACCTGAAGTCAGGAGTTCAAGACCAGCCTGGCCAACACAGTGAAACCCCGTCTCTACTAAAAATACAAAAAAAAAAAATTAGCCAGGCTCAGTGGCTCACACCTGTAATCCCAGCAATTTGGAAGGCCGTGGCGGGAAGATCGTTTGAGGTCAGGAGTTCGAGACTAGCCTGGCCAACAGGTGAAACCCCGTCTCTACTAAAAACACAAAAAATTAGCTAGGCGTGGTGGCGGGCGCCTGTTGTTCCAGGTCCTTGGGAGGCTGAGGTGGGAGGATCACTTGAATCTGGGAGGCGGAGGTTGCAGTGAGCCAAGATCACACCACTGCACTCCAGCCTGGGCGACAGAGCAAGGCTCTGTCTCAAAATAATAATATAGATAATAATAATAAAATAAAATAATTTATTTTCCATTCAGAGGTACATGTGCAGGTTTGTTACACGAATATATTGCATTATGGCTAAGGTTTGGAATTTCATGGCATTACTCAAATAGTAAACACAGTACCCAACAGGTAGTTTATTCACCCTTGTCCTACTCCCTCCTTCCTCCGTTCTGGAGTTCCCAATGTCTACAGTTTCCATCTCTTTTTTTTTTTTTTTCTTTTTTGAGACAAAGTCTCGCTCTGTCACCAGGCTGGAGTGCTGTGGTGCGATCTCGGCTCACTGCAACCTCCACCTCCCGGGTTCAAGTGATTCTCCTGCCTCGGCCTCCTGAGTTGCTGGGACTACAGGCGTGCGCCACCACACCCGGCTAATTTTTGTATTTTTAGCAGAGACAGGGTTTCACTGTTTAGCCAGGATGGTCTCGATCTCTTAACCTCATGATCTGCCCGCCTCGGCCTCCCAAAGTGCTGGGATTACAGATGGGATCCATGGTGCCCAGCCTACTGTTTCCATCTTTATGTCCATGAGCATCCAATGTTTAGGTTGCACTTATAAGCAAGAACATGTGGGATTTGGTTTTCTGTTTTTGGATGGATTCGCTTTATACTGGCCTCCAGCCACATCCATGTTCGTGCAAAGGACATGATTTAATTCATTTTTATGGTTGTGTAGTTCTCCATGGAGTATAGGTACCACATTAAAAAAACAAAAAGAAAATCCAAGCCGGGCACGGTGGCTCACGCGTGTAATCCCAGCACTTTGGGAGGCAGAGGTGGAAGGATCGCCTGAGGTCAGGAGTTCAAGACCAGCCTGGCCAACATGGTGAAATCGTCTCTACTAAAAATAAAAAAATTAGCTGGGCATGGCGGCATGCGCCTATAATCCCAGCTACTCGGGAGGAGGTTGCAGTGAGCCGAGATTACGCCACTGCACTCCAGCCGGGGTGACAGAGTGAGACTCTGTCTCAAAAAAAAAAAAAAAAAAAAAAAATCCAATCCACCATTGATGGGCACCTAAGTTGATGCCATGTCTTTGCTGTTGTGAATAGCACTGCCGTGAACATACATGTGCATGTGTCTTTTTGGTAGGACAATTTCTTTTCCTTTGGGTATATACCTAGTTTGTTTGTTTGTTTGTTTGTTTGAGACGGAGCTTCCCTCTGTCGTCCAGGCTGGAGTGCAATGGCACAATCTCAGCTCACTGCAACCTCCGCCTCCCGGGTTTAAGTGAATCTCGTACCTCAGCCTCCCAAGTAGCTGGGATTACAGGCGCGTGCCACCACGCCCAGCTAATTTTTTGTGTTTTTAATAGAGACAGGGTTTCACCATGTTGGCCAGGCTGGTCTCAGACTCCTGACCTCAAGTGATCTGCCTGTCTCGGCCTCCCAAAGTGCTGGGATTACAGGTGTGAGTCACTGCACCTGGCCCCAGTCTTTTTCTATCTCCGTTTCTCACTCTTTCTCTGTCTCTGTCTCCGTCTTTCTCTCTCTCTCTCACATCTCTCTCTCTCTCTCTCTGTGTGTGTGTGTGTGTGTGTGTGTGTGTGTGTGTGTGTGTATCTTTCTCTCCTTTTTTCTCTTACTCCTATATCCTTCTCACAGTGGGGGAGAGAATTTGGGAGGCAGAGGGAAGTCGGGATGGGATGGAACAGAGGACTATCCTGGTCCCCTGGCCTTTGGCCCCTCTGAGATAAGCCCTTTCTCCTTCCCCAACCCCTTCAGTATTCGTTCCAAGATGAGCAAGACAAGCCTCTGCCTGTCCCCAGCAACCAGTGCTGTAAGTACCTCTTGATTCTTCCTTGGGCATCAGCTGAAACACTCATCCCTCCCCTACCCTATGACTGTCCTGTCTAAAGGCTCCTCCAGTTTGGAGATACAAGTCCTGAGAGTGCAGTGTCCACTTACAGTATATTAGAAATTAGCGTTCTGAGGCCAGGCATGGTGGCTCACCCCTGTAATCCCAGCACTTTGGGAGGCTGAGGTCAGGAGTTCGAGACCAGCCTGGCTAACAGGGCACAACCCCATCTCTACTAAAAATACAAAAAAAATTGAACAGGCATGGTGGTGGGTGCCTGTAATCCCAGTTACTCAGGAGGCTGAGGCAGGAGAATTGCTTAAACCCAGAAGGCAGAATCTGCAGTGGGCCAAGGTCATGCCACTGCACTCCAGTCTGGGTGACAGAGTGAGACTCTGACTCATAAAAAGAAGGAAGGAAAGAAAGAGAAAGAGAAAGAGAGAGAGAGAGAAAAAGAAAGAAAGAAAGAAAGAAAGAAAGAAAGAAAGAAAGAAAGAAAGAAAGAAAGAAAGAAAGAAAGAAAAGAAAAGAAAGAGGGAGGGAAGAGTTCTGAGACTTGGGCTTGATGAAAGACAGGGAGGAAGACAGGAAGGAAGGAAGGAAGGAAGGAAGGAAGGAAGGAAGGAAGGAAGGAAGGGAGGGAGGGAGGGAGAGTTCTGAGACTTGGGCTTGATTCCCACCTTGCTATGTGGTCATGGACAGGCTGGTGTCCCTCTTCTATATTTAGGGGCCCTCTCTTTGAAATAGCGCATCTGACAGCCCCCTCCCTCTAAGGGTTGTTGGAAGGATCCAGGACCTCTAGAGACATGAAAAACACTTCATAGATGCTTCACTTTCCATTCATCAGATCCTGGATGAGGGTGTATAACTCTTTCCACAAACTGTTCATGGGGCCAGCACAAACCCCGAGCAGCCCACAGTCAGATGGCGCAGACAGACACAGACAGAAGATCCTGCCAGCACATGTACAACAGGCACACGTACAACAGATGAAGGCTGTTTCACTAACCCATTTTCTTAGATGGAGAAACTGAGGCCCAAGAGGAGATGTGATTTACCTAAGGCCACATACCTGGCAAGTGGCAGAGCCAGGATTTGAAACCAGGTCTGAGGGACTCCGACTTTGCTTCCCTTTCCACTGCACCTTGTCTGTTGATGATGATGATCACGTTCCTCTTCCTATTTCCATCAAGGCTGCAGTTGTCAAGATTTTTTTATCTTCCTGGGCCCTGTCGACACTCAGATGCATCCAGACAAGGTCTTCTCATGGGTGGAGGAGCTGTCTCCCTCCTTAAAATGACTTCCCATTGCTTTGTGGTGGAGGAGAAGTAGCAAATCATATAGCCTCAGGACAGCTCCCACCTGCTGACACCAAAACCCCACTTCACTCTTCAGCCAGCTCCTTCTCCTTTCCATTTACCTTCTTCTTCTTCTTTTTTTTTTTTTTTTTTTTTTTTTTTTTTTTTTTTTTTTGGAGATAGAGTCTCCCTCTGTCACCCAGACTGAACTGCAATGGTACTATCTTGGCTCACTGCAGCCTCTGCTTCCTGGGTTTGGGCAATTCTTGTGACTCAGCCTCTTGAGTAGTGGGGATTACAGGCACATGCCGTCACGCCCAGCTAGTTTTTGTATTTTTAGTAGAGATGGGGTTTCGCCATGTTGGCCAGGCTGGTCTCAAATTTTTTTCCACCCACCTCAGCTTCCCAAAGTGCTGGGATTACAGGTGTCAGCCACCGTGCCTAGCCCCTTTCCATTTGCTTTTCCATCTTCCTTTTTTCCCCCTCACAGCTTTCCTTGTATCTGTGTCTCCCCCACCATGTGTCCAGGAGGGTGGTAATGGAGCTGGGGTTGAGGAGGGCTTGGGGAACTCCAGCTGGCGTACCCCGTTTCTACACTAACTTGGGGTGTGATATTGAGAAAGTTCCTTGGCTTCCCTGGCCAGGGAGGAGTCATCACTGCCCGGAAGGAATTACAAACCCCCTCTGGGTGAATGGGGTCATTGAGAGGTTGCAATGGGGGTGGGGCCAGGCAGAGTGGAGGTGGGAAGGCAATGGCAGAGAGTCCCTGGGCAGATGGACTAGAGCCAGGAGCAAGTTCGATTTGGGAAGTGGAGACCACCACTCAATATTTACCCACAAGTCCTCCCTGGGCGTATTTTGTCACCCCCATTTCCCAGAGGAAGCAGTCAGTGGTCAGACGAGCCAGGATTCTGGTCCAGGACATTTTTCTGAAGTGCCAGGTACTGCACGTGATAGGCAAAGGGGTTCTCGCCCTGGCCCTGATGCTCAGAGGCTGTGTGACTTTTGGCTGCTCAGTGCATCTCTCTGAGCCTCATAGTTTCACCCATAAAATGAGCAGACCACCCAACAGGGGTGTTTCAAACCTTAGGGTTTCCAATTTAGTGTGTCTTTCCTTATCCAAGAGCTGGGAGAGGAAAAGGGTAGAGACTGGGAGACTGCTAACACCCAGACTTCGTAGTCAGAAAACCCTGGGCCCAGATACCCACTTTGTTACTTCCTGACTGAGCTTTTCCTCTCATTGAAAACTGAGCCAGGCACAGTGACTCATGCCTGTAAATTGCAGCTACTCAGCCTCACATGAGACCAGGTGTTTGAGACCACCCTGATCAACATAGCAAGACTCCATCTCTACACAAAAAAAACAAAAAGAAAAACCACCAAGAACCAAAACATTAGCTGAATATGGTGGTGGGTGCCTGTAATCCCAGCTACTCGGAAGGCTGAGGTGGGAGGATCACTTGAGCTTGGGAATTGGAGGCTGCAGTGAGCCATGATTGCACCACTCCACTCCAGGCTGGATGACAGAGTGAGACCCTGTTTCAAAAAACAAAAAAAATTAAAGAAAAGAAAAAAGTAAACAAACAGGGATATCCCACCTTCCTCCCAAGGTGGAGAGCAAAGACACAGCAAGTGTCAGCAATGAAAGTGATACTTAGGAAAGGTACTCAGGACAAGAGTGGCTCTTGGGGTGGGGGGAGCAGATGCGGAGAGTGAGGAGGACCGCAGGGGAGCCCACTTCCTACACCCACCCCTTTGTCTGCTCCCTTTTATTATTTCTGCCCCTTCTCTTTGTAGGTAACTGGAATTATTTTGGCTGGGGTGAGCAGCACAGTAAGTACTCAGCCTGATTGATGTTCTGGGAGGCCCATGGGAAGGTGGGCACCTTGGTGATCCCAAGGCCCCTCCTCACTACCACACAGGGAAGCAGGGAGCCTGTGACCAGCACATGGGGGCCAGAAGGCTTGGCGAGACCCCTTTCAAGCTTTCCTGTACCCTGTTCATTAGTGCCTGTCTTGGGAGGCCTGCTGTCTGCTGGGGAGTGGGCACCATCGTTGGGGTGGGGGGTTCAGCCTGGAGGAGTGGACATTTAGACCGACAACCTGCCTGTCTCCAGCTGGGCGCTGTGGTCCCCTCCCGCCACTCCCCCTGTATAACCTCACCTCCTCTCCTGTATCCGCTGCCTTTTGGTCTTCCTCTCTTCCTTCTCCACTTGGAAATGGGTCCAGTGTCACTCAGAGGGTAGTGGGTGGCCGGGGTCTCCAACAGAGGGGCGGGCCAGGAACTTCAGGGAGATGCACGCGGGGACCTCACCAACCCCCGAGGCTCCGCCCATACTCACACCTTACCTTCCATCTTCATTTGCTGTCCCAGGGAAGAAGGCAAGCCACGCCCTCCCTAAATTTAATGTCCATTTTTTTCTTTTTCTTTTTTTTTTTTTTGAGACGGAGTCTCACTCTGTCACCCAGGCTGGAGGGCAGTGGCACGGTCTTGGCTCACTGCAAGCTCCGCCTCCCAGGTTCACGCCATTCTCCTGCCTCAGCCTCCCAAGTAGCTGGGACTACAGGCGCCTGCCACGTCGCCTGGCTAGTTTTTGTGTGTGTGTATTTTTTAGTAGAGATGGGGTTTCACCGGGTTAGCCAGGATGGTCTCGATCTCCTGACCTCGTGATCCGCCCGTCTCGGCCTCCCAAAGTGCTGGGATTACAGGCTTGAGCCACCGCGTCCGGCCAATTTTTTGTATTTTTAATAGAGACGGGGTTTCACCATGTTGGCCAGGCTGGTTGTGAACTCTTGACTTCAGGTGATCCACCCACCTTGGCCTCCCAAAGGGCTGGGATTACAAGTTTGAGCCACTGCACTCGGCCTCCTGTGAGAATCTAATGCCACCGCTGATCTGACAGGAGGCGGAACTCAGGCGGTAATGTGAGTGATGGGGAGCAACTATAAATACAGATGAAACTTCACTCACTCACCCAACCGCCGCCCACCTCCTGCTGTGCGGCCCAGCTCCTAACAGGCCACAGACCAGACCTGTGCCCTAAGGAGTTGCTCCCTTTCTCCCATACCCCGCCTCTTCTAGAGAAACCCAGTCCTCTATTCTCTTTTTTTTTTTTTTTTTTCTTTTTTTTTGAGATGGAGTCTCGCTCTGTCACCCAGACTGGAGTACAGTGGTGCGATCTCTGCTCACTGCAACCTCCACCTCCTGGGTTCAAGCGATTCTCCTGCCTCAGCCTCCTGAGTAGCTGGGATTACAGGTACATGCCACTATGCCTGGCTAATTTTTGTATTTTTAGTAGAGACAGGGTTTCACCATGTTGGCCAGGCTGGTCTTGAACTCCTGAACTCAAGCAATCCTCCTGTCTCGGCCTCCCAAAGTGCTGGGATTACAGGTGTGAGTTACCATGGCTGGCCAGTCCTCTATTCTGAGGATAAATCTGCCTCCTTCTCTCTTCTCCACCAACTGGGAAGTCCTTCACTCCTTCCTTATAACCTGGTGGACAAACCTATCTCCAGGACCAGTGAAACTGTTGACAAACACTTTGGTCCACCACAATTTATCAAAATCAAGTTGGTTAAAAATCAATTTAGGGCCGGGTACGGTGGCTCACGCCTGTAATCCCAGCACTTTGGGAGGCCAAGGCAGGCGGATCACGAGGTCAGATCGTGATCTGAGCTGAGATCGCACCACTGCACTCCAGCCTGGGCGACAGAGCGAGACTCCAACTCAAAAAAAAAAAAAAAAAAAAATCAATTTAGGCCAGCCACAGTGGCTTACACCTACAATTCCAACACTTTGGGAGGCTGAGGCGGGAGGATTGCTTGAGCCCCAAAGTTTGAAATCAGCCCGGGCAACACAGCAAGACCCCACCTCTACAAAAAAAAAAAAGGCCAGGTGTGGTGGTGCGCCCCTGTAGTCCCAGCTATTCAGGAGGCTGAGGCGGGAGGATTGCTTGAGCCCAGGAGGTCAAGGGTGCAATAAGCCATCATTGTGCGACTGCACTTCAGCCTAGGCAACAGTGTGAGACCCCATTTCTAAAAAATAAATATATTAAAATAAATAAATAAATAGATAAATAAAATCAATTTCACCAAAATGAATGCTTGGCAGACAGGGCAAGCTTGATAACAACCAACTTGCCAGAAACGAACAGTATGGTCAAAAGCAAAGACAGGCCAGGCGCGGCAGCTCACGCCATAATCCCAGCACTTTGGGAGGCCGAGGTAGGCAGATTACTTGAGGTCAGGAGTTTGACACCAGCCTGGCCAACATGATGAAACCTCGTCACTACTAAAAATACAAAAATTAGCCAGGCATGGTGGTGCGTGCCTGTAATCCCAGCTACTCGGGAGGCTGAGGCAGGAGAATTATTTGAACCTGGGAGGTGGGGGCTGCAGTGAGCTGAGATTGCACCATTGCACTCTAGCCTGGGTGACAGAGCGACACTCCTTCTTAAAAAAAATACCCAGCCGGGCGCGCTGGCTCACGCCTGTAATCCCAGCACTTTGGGAGGCCGAGGCGGGCAGATCACGAGGTCAGGAGATCGAGACCTTCCTAGCTAACACGGTGAAACCCTGTCTCTACTAAAAATACAAAAAAATTAGCCAGGCATGGTGGCAGGCGCCTGTAGTCCTAGCTACTCAGGAGGCTGAGGCAGGAGAATGGCATGAACTCGGGAGGCGGAGCTTACAGTGAGCCGGGATCGCGCCACTGCACTCCAGCCTGGGCGACAGAGCGAGATTCCGTCTCAAAAAAAAAACAAAAAACAAAAAACAAACAAACAGAACAAAACACCAATGCAGCTAAAGCTGATGGATAATTGGGTCAAAAAGGAAAGACAATTGAGCTAAAAACAGACCATTCGGTCAAAACAAAAGTGGTTGAAAATAGCCAGAAGCAGGCAATTTAGTCAAGAGCTACTTAGTAGAAAGCAGAGCCTGGGCAAAAGCAAAAAGAATTCAATTCAAAGTAATTTACCCTTCATAAGCAGATAATTTGTCAGAAAAAAAAAAACTGGGTGAACATGTGCACAGCCTCATGCAATTTGGCTGGAAACATCTCAGCCTGGTCAAGGACAATTGGGTAGAAAGAATGCTGACCGGCCAAGGTGGTTCATGCCTATAATCCCAGCACTTTGGGAGGCTGAGGTGGGAAGACTGCTTGAGCCCAGGAGTTCAAGATCAGCCTGGGCAATATAGTGAGATCCCATCTCTACAAAATAATAAGTAAATAAAATTAGCTGGGCATGGTGGTGTGTACCTGTGGTCCCAGGTACTCTGTAGTCTGAAGTGAGAGGATTTCTCGAGCCCAGGAGGTCGAGGCTTCAGTGAGCTATGATAGCGCCACTGCACTCCAGCCCAAGTGAGAGAGACTCAGTCTAAATGAATGGATGAATACAGCAAAAGTCTGAAAATTTCACTCATTGCTCTGAGACTTTGGGGTCCGGGGGTTTCTTCATTTTTTTATATCCTCTTCCCCTACCCCATACTTCTCGTATTTTCTTCATGGACTACTTTTTTTTTTTTTTTTTTTTTGATACAGGGTCTCATTCTGTCGCCCAGACTGCAGTGCTGCAGTACAGTGGCATAATCATAGCTCACTGCTACCTCGATCTCCTGGGCTCAAGCAATGCTCCTGCTGTAGCCTCCCGAATAGCTGGGACTACAAGCGCCCACCACCACACCCAGCTAATTTTTAAATTTTTTAAAGAGATGGGGTCTTACTCCATCCTGGCTAACACAGTGAAACCCCGTCTCTACTAAAAATACAAAAAAATTAGCCGGACGTGGTGGCAGGCGCCTGTAGTCCCAGCTATTCTGGAGGCTGAGGCAGGAGAGCTTGCAGTGAACGGAGCTTGTGCCACTGCACTCCAGCCTGGGCAACAGAGTGAGATTCTGTCTCAAAAAAAAAAAAAAAAAAGATGGGGTCTTCCTGTTGCCCAGGCTGATCTTGAACTCCTGGGCTCAAGTGATCCTCCTGCCTCGGCCTCCCAAAGTGCTAAGATTACAGGCATGAGCCACTGCACCTGGCCCATGGACTACATTTTGCTTTACTTTTATTTTATTTTGTTTTTTGGAAACAGGCTCTTGTGTCACCCAGCCTGGAGTACAGACGTGTGATCTTGGCTCATGGCAGCCTCCGCCTCCTGGGTTCAAAAGATTCTCCTGCCTCAGTCTCCCGAATAGCTGGGACTACAGGCACCTGCCACCACACCCGGCTAATTTTTGTATTTTTAGTAGAGACAGGGTTTTGGTATGTTGCCCAGGCTGGTCTGGAACTCCTGGCCTCAAGTAATCCGCCCGCCTTGGCCTCCCAAAGTGCTGGGATTACAGGTGTGAGCCACTGTGCCCAGCCTTTGCTTTACTTTTATCATTCTTTTTAATTAAAAAACTTAAAAAGATTGCATTATTGAAATCTTTTTTTTTCAGAAGGTACAGAAAAGAACAAAGAAGAAAATGTACAATCCCCAATCATGCCACCACCCAGACATGTGGCTTTTAGAATTGGAATTTTTTTTTTTTTAGGATTTAGAAAACAAACTGTTCTTTTTTCTAAGGAAACCAAACTAAACCAAAATATCTTTGAGTTCTTATTAAACATGAAGTTTGGCAACTCTACCATATTCCATTTTAGCAATAGATTCTGAGTGTGTGGTGGTTTTGCCAAGCTAAGAATCTAAACCTTTTTGAAAAAGACAGAACCATGTTTCAGCGTCTTCTTGGTTCTTGCACATGTAAGTTCAGGTCTGGGGTCCTCACCCTCAGATATCAGGAAATCTCTAAGGGTTAAAGGGCATTCCCTCCACCTTGAACCCCTGATCTTCCTCCAACTTCCTCCTGTTTGTGTGACTCCTGTTATGGAAACTAACTGTCCAGCGGAAAAAATCCCATCTCATTTTCAGAGGTCCTGACCTTGAACAAAGTTGTTCCTCACATTTGAGCTGAAGGATGCCCTCTATTTTGTCCCTGTTTTCTTCACCTTGTAGAACCTACACTAGCACCTAGACTGTAGGTCCAATTTGACCCACATAAAGCAAAGTAGGGTTTTCACCTCCCTTGTTCTGAAGCCTAAATCTCTATTAACATGACCCACAATTCTTTATCCATACTAGTAAAACATTCTCTTCTTCAGTAGCAGCACCCTAAGTCTGGGAAACTATATTGGCCCCCATCATGTGCACTCTCTCTTCCTCACCCTTTTCCCATACCTCCTCTCTCTTCCAGACGATGACCCCGACAGTGCAGTGGATGATCGCGACAGTGACTACCGCAGTGAAACGAGCAACAGCATCCCGCCGCCCTATTACACTACGTCGCAACCCAACGCCTCAGTCCACCAGTATTCTGTTCGCCCACCACCCCTGGGCTCCCGGGAATCCTACAGCGACTCCATGCACAGTTATGAGGAGTTCTCTGAGCCGCAGGCCCTCAGGTAGGTGCCGCAGAGTGCAGTGTGCACGTGTATGAGGGTCCTGCTGTGTCTCGTGGAGTAGAGAGAGAGGTTGGGGGCTGGACAGAGCTAGAGGTGGAGTTCCAGGAGGGCAGAATTCACATTTTCTTGTGGGAATGAGCCCTTTTGTTCTTTTCCTTTTTTTTTTTTTAAGACAGAGTCTTGCTCTGTCACCTAGGCTGGAGTGCGGTGGCACCATCTCGGCTCACTGCAACCTCCGCCACCCAGGTTCAAGCAATTCTCCTGCCTCACCTCCCGATTACAGGCACACGCCACCACCAAGCCCGGCTAATTTTTGTACTTTTAGTAGAGACAGGGTTTCACCATGTTGGTCAGGCTGGTCTCAAACTCCTGACCTCAAGTGATCCGCCCACCTCTGCCTCCCAAAGTGCTGGAATTACAGGGGTGAACCACTGCACCCAGCCTCTTTCTTTTTTTTTATTTTTGTATTTTATTTTATTTATTTATTTTTGAGACGGAGTCTCGCTCTGTCTCCCAGGTTGGAGTGCAGTGGCCGGATCTCAGCTCACTGCAAGCTCCGCCTCCCAAGTTTAAGCCATTCTCCTGCCTCAGCCTCCCGAGTAAGTGGGACTACAGGCGCCTGCCACCTCGCCCGGCTACTTTTTTGTATTTTTTAGTAGAGGCGGGGTTTCACCGTGTTAGCCAGGATAGTCTCGATCTTCTGACCTCGTGATCCGCCCGTCTTGGCCTCCCAAAGTGCTGGGATTACAGGCTTGAGCCACCGCGCCCGGCCCAGCCTCTTTCTTTACCCAAAAGCTTGCAAGAAAATTCTACACAGCCAGGCATGGTGGCTGGAGTACAGTGGCACCATCGTGACTTACTGCAGCCTTGAACTCCTGGGCTCAAGCGATCCTCCCACCTCAGCCTCCCCAGTAGCTGGGACTACAGGCACAGGCCACCACACCGAGCTAATTTATTTTTATTTTTTTGTAGAGATGGGGGTCTTGTTCCATCGCCCGGGCTGGTGTTGAACCCCTTTTTATTCCTATAGCATCTCTGAGGCTGGCCAGGGAAGAGGGTCCCAGGCACTAAGATTGGAGGAGGTATCTAATCAGGAGATGATAAGGTTTGTTGAGTGACTAAGTGAATGATTAGAAGAGGGCTGAGTGGCAGCCCCTATGTTCCCCTGCCTGCACTTAGACAGAGACAGATATTCCTGTTGATGCTGAGCACGATCCTGGGTTCATATAAGCAGCATATAACCGAGGGCCTGACCTGGCCAGAGAGTGGGGGGCATTTGCACAAGTAAGTGATGTTTCAGTGGGTACCAGAGGATGGGTAGGAGTTTTCTAGATAAAGCAGATAAGGAAGAGACTATGGCAAGTACACAGGTTTATGGTGTTGGAGAGACAATGAGGTGGCCGGTGTGGCTGGAATGGAGGAGGTGGGGAGAAGTGGAGGGAGGTATGCAGGGGGAGTTTGGAGGGTATGGGCCACACAGGGCTAGCACAGATTTTATTGCAAGGCACTAGGGAGCCATGGTAGGATTTAGAGCAGGGGAGGGAGGTGATTGGATTTACGACTCCCTGTGGCTTCCAAGGGAAGCAGGAACTGTGGGGACAGCATCTGGTAGAGACAGCAGAGGCTGGCCTGGGGTGGGGCCGAGGGCAGGGAAGTGAATGCATTTTCTATACTTTTTCGGGGTGGAGGCCAGGAGACGTGCTGTGGGGCTGTGGTGATGGCGCTGACCCTGAGTCCCCAGCACAGTCAGTTGCCTGTCTTCCATAGACCGCAAATGCCACAAAAGCGGGGATTTTTTTTTTTTTTTTTTTTGAGATGGAGTTTCACTGTTGTTGCCCAGGCTGGAGTGCAATGGCATGATCCCAGCTCACTGCAACCTCCACCTCCCGGGTTCAAGTGATTCTTCTGCCTCAGCCTCCCGAGTAGCTGGGATTACAGGCATACGCCACCACGCCCAGCTAATTTTTGTATTTTTAGTAGAGACAGGGTTTCACCATGTTGGCCACGTTGGTCTTGAACTCCTGACCTCAGGTGATCTGCCCACCTCAGCCTCCCTAAGTGCTGGGATTCCAGGCGTGAGCCACTGTGCCCAGCCAAAAGGGGGAATTTTTATTTTTTCTGATCATGGCTGTGTTTTCTGGCCCCTAGAGCAGGACGTGGCACAGAGTAGGTGCTTAATCGGTGATGAGTCAATGCCTGTGTGACTGGGGCTCAGGTGGGCAGTGACTCGGTACCCTGGCGCCTGAACCCTGTTTCATCCCCACAGCCCCACGGGTAGCAGCCGCTACGCCTCCTCAGCGGAGCTGAGCCAGGGAAGCTCTCAGCTGAGTGAGGACTTCGACCCTGACGAGCACAGCCTGCAGGGCTCCGAGATGGAGGACGAGCGGGACCGGGACTCCTACCACTCCTGCCACAGCTCGGTCAGCTATCACAAAGACTCACCTCGCTGGGACCAGGATGAGGAGGAGCTGGAGGAGGACCTGGAGGACTTCCTGGAGGAGGAGGAGCTGCCTGAAGACGAGGAGGAGCTGGAGGAGGAGGAGGAGGTGCCTGACGATTTGGGCAGCTATGCCCAGCGTGAAGAGGTGGCTGTGGCTGAGCCCAAAGACTTCAAACGCATCAGCCTCCCGCCAGCTGCCCCGGGGAAGGAGGACAAGGCTCCATTGGCACCCACCGAGGCCCCCGACACGGCCAAGGTGGCCCCCAAGCCAGCCACACCCGAGGAGGTGCCTGCAGCTGAGCAGATCCCTGAGGCTGAGGCCCCCAAGGCCGAGGAGAGGTAACAGGAGGGGACCAAGGGGCCAGAGGGGCTGCCAGAAGGTCACAGGGTCAATAGGGCTATGATGGGGTCAGTGAACCTGGGCAGTTGCCAGGGCTAAAGTTGTCACAGGCCCTTGGGTTTCTTAAAGGGATCAGAGGTGACAGAGCAGAGTACAGGGGTCAAAGAGGGTTCAGGGGCGTCATGAAGGGGTCTTAGAGGTTGTGACCTTAGGGGTTTCTGGGCTCAGAGAGGTCAAGATCCTGGGCAAATGGGGTGCCAGAGGGACTGGGCTGGTGAAAAGGAAGCTGGGGAACAGTGAAGTGTCAGAGAAGCGTTGGGTGTGTGGGAAGGGGTGAGGGGCACCGAGGTGGGCCAGGGGACACAGGTGGGTCCCCATGTCTTTGAGGGGTCAGAGATACCATGGGAAGCCGTGCATCACTTTCACAGCTGGAGGGTTGAGGGAAGGTCAGGAGTCACAGAGAGCCAGCCCGGAGGAGCCTCATAGCGTTCCCTGCCTCAGTTTCAGGCCGAGAGAGGATGAGGAAGGCCAGGAGGGGCAGGACTCCATGTCCAGGGCCAAGGCCAACTGGCTGCGTGCCTTCAACAAGGTGCGGATGCAGCTGCAGGAGGTGAGTGACACGCCCAGCCATGCCCCTGCCACACTCAGCCAGGCCATGCCCAATGCCACGCCCACACATGGTTTGGCCACACCCATACCTACATTGGCCACGCCCAACACCCCACCTGCACCCAAGCCTGGCCTGGGCATGCCTAGTGCAGTCCGCACACTGTGCCCATGCCCCACCCACCATGACCCTTCCTTAGCTACGCACGCACACAGCCCAGGGTATCCCCATGACCTGTCCACACTAGCCTGGCTATGCTCACTCTGAAGCCCCACACCAAGTCTGGCCCCACCCATCCCCAGCCCATCCTCCCCAGTGTCAGCCTGGGGTTTCTAAGTCAAGAGGGAGGAGAGAAAACTGGGGCTGAAACAGGGCTGAAGTCATGGTTAGGGATCAAGGTCAGGGTTAGTTCAGCTATCAAAGATCAGAGGTCAGGGTTAGAATTGGTGTTAGGCAAAGGAGTCAGTGCTTAGGGTCAAATTGGAAGTCATCGTCAGGGTTAGGGAAAGGTCTGGGGCCGGGTCAGTAGGGGAGTAGGAATCAAGGGAAGGAATTAGCATCAGGGTCAAGGTGACTGTTCAGATGGGCAGCAGGATTGAGGCCATTGATTTAGTCTTTCATTCAGCTCACCCTGGGCTGGGGACAGCTGTGTTGCTCTCCAGGGTTACCCTCCAAACTGCAGTGGGATTGGCAGGAGGAGATTCTAAACAGGCTTCCAGAGGTTTAGACCATCAAATATCAGAGCCACAAAAATACCAAACGAAATTTCTCATCAGTTTTAAAATAGAAATCTATTTTTTGACTCAGCGATACATACATATGGTTCTAAATTAGACAGATGGAAGAGTACACAGTGAAAAGGCTATTGGATAACTTTCACTACGTCAAGAAATTAAATGGAAAAAATAGCAGCTACTATTGGAACTATGTGATATACAAGAAAAACAAACTATGGAACTAGTAATATGACAAGAAAAAGACACATGGAGGGCTCTCTGGGTTTCATAGGAAAAGCATAAAACTAATCCAAGGCAATCAGGAAAACTCCCTGGAGGAGATGACACTTAAGAAAAAGTGACATCCAAAATATTTCAACAGTATTTCAGGAGCTCACGCCTGTAATCCCAGCAATTTGGGAGGTTGAGACGGGAGGATCACCTGAACTCAGGAGTTTGAGACCAGCCTGGGCAACATAGTGAGACCTCATCTCTAAAAGAAAAAAAAAAAATTCAGAGCTGGGTGTGGTGGCTCACGCCTGTAATCCCAGCACTTTGGGAGGCTGAGATGGGTAGATCGCCTGAGGTCAGGGGTTCAAGACCAGCCTGGCCAACATAGTGAAACCCCATCTCTACTAAAAATATAAAAAATTAGCTGGGTGTGGTGGTGGGCGCCTGTAATCCCAGCTACTAGGGAGGCTGAGGCAGGAGAATCGCTTGAACCCGGGAGGCAGAGGTTGCAGTAAGCTGAGATTGCACCACTGCACTCCAGCCTAGGCAACAAAAGGGAAACTCCATCTCAAAAATATTTCGGGAGCTGAGTGTGGTGGCTCGTGCGTGTAGTCCCAGCTACTCAGGAGGCTGAAGCAGGAAGATATATGAGGCCGGCAGTTCAAGACCAGTCTGGGCAATATAGCAAGACCCTGTCTTTAAAAAACCAAACACACCCTCAATATTTCAGAACAGAAGAGTACTGCCTGTCTTCCTCATAGGACTCCCCCATGTTAACCCTTTAGTTACAAGATGGAGGGAAGGTAGGGGGCATAGACCCCGGCTCTGTGCTGAGACCTGAATGATAAATAGAGGCTGGGTGGCTGCAGAAGGTGGAAAGAGGTACAAGCTGAAGTCACAACTCCTGAAAAGGGCCCGGGGCCAGAGAGCAGATGAACAAGTGAGACCGTAGGGGGTTTAGGGAATAAGCAATGAAGAGATAGGTCCATTGAGGTGGTTGAAAGAAGGGAGCTTCTTTCTCCCCCAGCCCATCTTACAGATGGACAAACTAAGGCCCAGAGATAGCCAGGGAACTTCCTAAAACCACTCAGCCAGAACTAGGACCCAGGCCATCTGACTCCCAGCCCAGAGGGGAGTCAGAAGTGGGTGTGGAGCCTGCTCTGGGAAGGGGAGGGACAGCCACACTGATCATATCTGTTTGTCTGTCCTGCAGGCCCGGGGCGAAGGAGAAATGTCCAAATCCCTATGGTTCAAAGGCGGGTAAGTAATGGAACCATGAGCTGTGGGTGGAAGATTTGAACCCCGAGCCCAAAGCTGGTTTGCGCCTGAGCCTCAGCCCAGAGAGGATGGGGAGGGGTTCCATTTAGACAGAGGACAAATTGAGCTTGGGCAAAATATGTCACTTTCATAAGGCACACAAGCACACGCAGATGCGAAAGACAGTAATCTTTGAAGATAGGCCTGGGTGCAGTGACTCATGCTGTAATCCTAGCACTTTGGGAGGCTGAGGCAGGAGGATCATTTGAGGTCAGGAGTTCAAAACCAGCCTGGCCAATATGGTAAAACCCTGTCTCTACTAAAAATACAAAAATTAGCTGGGCGTGGTGACAGGCACCTGTAATCCCAGCTACACGGGAGGCTGAGGCAAGAGAATTACTTGAACCCAAGAGGCAGAGGTTACAGTGAGCTGAGATCGCATCACTGCACTCCAACCTGGGTGACAGAGCGGGATGCTGTCTCAAAAATAAACAAACAAATACATAGGTAAATAAATGTAAGATAAAGCAGTATCTTACTGCTTTAGTATTAGGAACTAGACATTATTGGGAAATATACACTATACATTTGTAATCCCGGAGCAAAATTTTTGCTTTGATTTCTATTTTTAAATCTCTTTGATTATTGCTACAGTCGTGGGCTCTTTAAAGATAGTTGTTTAGTCTTCAGTGGAGCATGTGGTCACATCTAACCTCTTATGTTATGGATTTTCAGGTTAGAGGATGCACAAGATATTTTTAAAATATGCTCAGGTTTTAAAATAGCAGCACGATAGTGACCTTCCTTGTACGTCCTTGGCAAACAGGCAGGGAGATAGCAACTGGGATTGCTTAATAAATGAACAGGTGCCCCAGCTTGAGAGCCTTGGATGCAGGGCCTGAAATGGGGATTCCTGTGCACGTGATTTATGAAGGATGTGCTCTCAGGAGAAACCTGTCAGACAAGGGGAGGCTGCCGAGAAAAGATGTGGTGTTTTTTTTGAGACGGAGTCTTGCTCTGTCGCCCAGGCTGGAGTGCAGTGGCGTGATCTCGGCTCACTGCGAGCTCTGCCTCTCAGGTTTACGCCATTCTCCTGCCTCAGCCTCTGAGTAGCTGAGACTACAGGCACGCACCACCACGCCCAGCTAATTTTTTGTATTTTTAGTAGAGACGGGGTTTCACCATGTTAGCCAGGATGGTCTCGATCCCCTGACCTCGTGATCCGCCCGCCTCGGCCTCCCAAAGTGCTGGGATTACAGGCTTGAGCCTCCAGCTGAAAAAATGTGGTTTAGGCGTCTCAAAGCCTCAGGTGGCTCCTGCAGAAAGCTTTGTAGGTTGAATAGCCCTGTAAGGCTTGTCTGGAATCATTGGCTGCAGGCACCTATCTCATTGGCCAATGAAAACATTTTGGGGCCAGGCGTGGTGTCTCACTCCTGTAATCCAGCACTTTGGGAGGCTGAACTCCTGAAGCCTGATGTCAGGAGTTCAAGACCAGCCAGGCTGGCCGGGCGTGGTGGCTCACCCTTGTAATCCCAGCACTTTGGGAGGCTGAGGTGGGCGGATCACGAGGTCAGGAGATCGACACCATCCTGGCTAACACGGTGAAACCCCGTCTCTACTACAAATACAAAAATTAGCCGGGCATGGTGGTGGGTGCCTGTAGTCCCAGCTACTTGGGAGGCTGAGGCAGGAGAACAGCGTGAACCTGGGAGGCGGAGCTTGCAGAGAGCCGAGATCGCGCCACTGCACTCCAGCCTGGGCAACAGAGCAAGACTCCGCCTCAAAAAAAAAAAAAAAAAAAAGACCAGCCAGGCCAACATGGTGAAACCCCGTCTCTACTAAAAAATACAAAAATTAGACAGGTGTGGTGGTGCATGCTTGTAACCCCAGCCACTTGGGAGGCTGAGGCGGGAGAATCACTTGAGGCTAGGAGTTCAAGACCAGCCTGGGCAACATAGCGAGACCCCCATCTCTACAAAAAAAATTTTTTAGTTAGCTCTGTGTGGGCCAGGTGCAGTGGCTCATGCCTGTAATCCCAGCACTTTGGGAGGCCGAGGCGGGTGGATCACCGGAGGTCAGGAGTTTGAGACCAGCCTGGCCAACATGATAAAATCCCATCTCTACTAAAAATACAGAAAATTAGTCAGGTGTGGTGGTGGGCACCTGTAATCCCAGCTACGTGGGAGGCTGAGACAGGAGAATTGCTTGAACCCAGGAGGCAGAGGTTGCAGTGAGCTAAGATCATGCCATTGCATTCCAGCCTGGGCGACAGAGTAAGATTCCATTTAAAAAAAAAAAAAAAAAAAAAATTAGCTGGGTGTGGTGGCATACACCTGTGGTCCCAGCTACTCAGGAGGCTAAGGTGGGAGGATTGCTGGAGCCCAGGAGGTGGAGGCTACAGTGAGCCGTGATTGTGCCACTGTACTCCAGCCTGGGTGACACAATGAGATCTTGTCTCAAAAGAAGTCTGGGCACGGTGGCTCACGCCTGTAATCTCAGCACTTTGGGAGGCCAAGGTGGGTGGATTGCCTGAGGTCAGGAGTTCGAGACCAGCCTGGCCAACATGGTGATACCTTGTTTCTACTAAAAATACAAAAATTAGCCAGGCATGGTAGTGGGCACCTGTAATCTCAGCTACTTGGGGAGCTGAGGCAGGAAAATCGCTTAAACCCAGAAGGCAGAGGTTGCAGTAAGCCAATAAAGGTTTCATTTTTTATTTTATTTTATTTTATTTTATTTTATTTTATTTTAGATACAGAGTCTCACTCTGTCACCCAGGCTGGATTGCAGTGGCACGATCTCAACTCACTGCAACCTCTGCCTCCTGGGTTCAAGTAATTCTCCTGCCTCAGCCTCTTGAGTAGCTGGGATTACAGGCACGTGCCACCACGCCAGGCTAATTTTTGTATTTTTAGTAGAGATGGGGTTTCACCATGTTGATCAGGTTGGTCTCGAACTCCTAACCTCAGGTGATCCACCTGCCTTGGCCTCCCAAAGTTCTGGGATTACAGGGGTGAGCCACCACACCCGGCCTCATTTATATTTTAGTATATTATTTAGATTTGCCTTAATTCACGTTTTCATTCAAGGTGGGCAACTACATCATCTGCCCATTTTTCAGATGAGGAGGTTGAGGCCTGGTGTCTCCATTTCTTAGGACTGCTATCACAAAGTACCACAACCGGGAGGCTTAAAACCACAGCAATGTATTCTCTCGCAGTTCTGGAGGCCAGAAGTCTGAAATCAAGGCATTGGTAGGGCCACGCTCCCTCTGAAATCTGTAGAAGAGAATTCCTCCCCTGCCTCTTCTAGCTTCTAGTTTGCTTGAAATCCTTGGCCACCGAGTATTGATTTGTAGATATGTCACTCCTTGCCTCAGCCGTCATGCAGCCACCTTCTCCCCATGTATCTCTTCTTCTAAGGGCACTAGTCATATTAGATTAAGCATCTACCCTACTCCAGTATGACCTTATCTTAACTAATTCATCTCCGACAACCCCGTTTCCAAATAAAGTCACCTTCTGAGGTAGTGGGGGTTAGGGCATCAACATATCTTTTTCTTGCGGGACCCAATTCAACCCTTTAACACCTGCGAAGGTTGAGTATTCTCTCCAGGGCTCGAGTGATGTCTCTGTGAGGAATAGGGACATCTGGGCCCTCAATGTCCCTCTGTGTCTTACAGCCCAGGAGGTGGTCTCATCATCATCGACAGCATGCCAGACATCCGCAAGAGGAAACCTATCCCACTCGTGAGCGACCTGGTAAGCACCCTCGTCCTTTACTCCCCGAGCAGAGCAGTCCTGCTATAAGCAGTACACAACCTGCAGAACTGCCCATGGTCAACCTGGGGTTGGGGGCTAGCTAAGAATTCTCTGAGACTAATGTAATCTGATTTCTACCCCCACGTGCTGCATGGACACTTCAGGCCATGGTGAGTGATGACGACATGGGCCCCTTGGGGTCTTCTCCCCAAACTCCCCAACTGGGATCTTCTAACAGGCCCCCAATTCATGGATTCTGGGGGAACCTTGCCATGTCCCACTGTGTTGCATGCTGTGAGTCAGGTTTGTGGGGCTGCTCACTCTCCAGGGTCCCTTCTAACTCAAAGTCTCTGTCACCTCCTAATTCTTTGTTGGGTCTGGCCCGGATGCTCTTGGTGACTTGTTTTCAATTTGCGGTTGTGGCTTCAAAATGTGGCTGCTGGCCCCATCCGTGGCTGTGAACTCTTCCGGTGGTAATCTCATGGATGTCAACCCCCCGACTCCCTCTTCTGTGACCTCCCTAGTCCCTGGTCCAGTCCAGGAAAGCGGGCATCACCTCGGCCTTGGCCTCCAGCACGTTGAACAACGAGGAGCTGGTGCGTGGGGCACCCCTTTTTGCCCGGGTCAGGGATGGACTGGGCTGGGAGCTTCTGGAATTGTCCAAGCCTCTGTGGGTCCCTGGGAAGAGGAGGGGTGTGTGTGTGACACAGACTGGCAGAAGGCAGCGCAGATTCCGACAGCGTGGAGGCAGGGGAGGGGCTGGAACTTTAACGCGTTCAGTGCTGGGGCAGAGTGGGGGAGGACAGGGACAGCGCCAGGTTAGCCCCTACAAACCGCATCCCCTCCCTCCCTGCAGAAAAACCACGTTTACAAGAAGACCCTGCAAGCCTTAATCTACCCCATCTCGTGCACGACGCCACACAACTTCGAAGTGTGGACGGCCACCACGCCCACCTACTGCTACGAGTGCGAGGGGCTGCTGTGGGGCATCGCGAGGCAGGGCATGCGCTGCACGGAGTGTGGTGTCAAGTGCCACGAAAAGTGCCAGGACCTGCTCAACGCCGACTGCCTGCAGCGTGAGCGCAGGGCCTGAACGCAGGGTCGTGGGTTGGCGTGGGGAGCCCCAGGGCTTGCATGGCGGGGAAAGGCTGAAGGGGCAAGGCGATGGGTAGGGCACCATGGGGCGGGGCAAGGGGCGGGGCGTCGTGAGGCAGGGGAGGGACTGGGGGGTGGTGTTAAAGGGGCAGGACTCTCTGGGGGCAGGGCTAGGGGGTTGAGCGATGGGGAAAGAAACTGGGAGGGTGTCAGAGAGGAGTGGGGCAGGGCTCAGGGACTAGCTGGGTTTTGCAAAGGACAGGCTTAGTGAGAAGAGGCAGCTCCCCTGGATAAAATGGGTTAGCTAGGGGTAGCTCTGAGAGGAAGAGGGCCTCAGAGAGGGAAGGGGTTCAGACTGCTAGAGGACTGTGCAGGAGGGGGGTTGGAAGGGGGAGGGGACTCAGAGGAGGTGGGACCAAGAGAAAGGGAGAGGTCTCAGAGAAGGAAGGGGCTCAGAAATGTGGAGGGGACTCACAGGGGTGGAGATTAGAGATGCGGAGGGGATTCAGAGGAGTGGAGCTCAGACAGGCAGCGGGACTCAGAAGGGTGGGACTCAGAGGGGACGGGGACTCAGAGGGGTGGGGCTCAGAGAGGGGGCAGGGACTCAAAGGGGTGGGGCTCAGAGATGGGGCGGGGACTCAGTTGGGGTGGTGCTCAGAAAGGGGGCAGGGACTCAGAGGGGTGGGACTCAGAGGGGGCTAGGACTCCCAGAGGGGCCCGGAGACTCACAGTTGTGGGACTCAGAGAGGGGCGGAGACTCAGAGGGGTGGGACGCAGAGGGGGCGGGGACTCAGAGGGGTGGGACGCAGAGAGGGGGCGGGGACTCAGAGGAGTCGGGCTTAGGGAAGACGCCTTAGAGGGGTAGGGCTCCAAAAACCTGTGGGGACTCCAAGGGGTGGGGGGCAGAGAAGGGACATGGGGACTCAGAGGAGCATGGCTCCGAGAGGAGGTGAAAGGTGAAGGGTATGGGTGGGAGGTACAGAGAGTAGGTAGGAAACCGGCTTCAGGGGGTGACACCTGAGTTCCCGCAGTTGATGAGTGGGGGCGGAGCTCTCACCTTGGTGAGGAGCCACTAGGCAGGGGCGCTGGGGTCAGCGCCGGCCTCGGGCGTCCTCAGGGGCTGCGGAGAAGAGCTCCAAGCACGGGGCGGAGGACCGGACGCAGAACATCATCATGGTGCTCAAGGACCGCATGAAGATCCGGGAGCGCAACAAGCCCGAGATCTTCGAGCTCATCCAGGAGATCTTCGCGGTGACCAAGACGGCGCACACGCAGCAGATGAAGGCGGTCAAGCAGAGCGTGCTGGACGGCACGTCCAAGTGGTCCGCCAAGATCAGCATCACCGGTGAGGGGACGTGGGCCCCCACAGGGACCCTCCTTCTCCACCCTCTGAGACCTGTCTCATGCCCTGTCCCATGGCCGGGTCCCTCCCCTTTGCGGCATGCACTCAGTGTCGTGCATTCCATCCCATCTCCGCATGTGCACGTATATGGGGGGACATGCGTGCCTCCAAACGCCTGTTCAGGGCACTGTATCTGGGTGTGTCTTGGATGGTGCCTTCCAGAGTGAGACCCCAAGAAGAGGAATTGAGGGTGCATAGTTTATCTGGAAAGTGACCCCAGAAAGTCCTGGTGAGGGGCAAGGACTTGAGACAGGGATGGAAGGAGTCCTGAAGGCGATGCCTTGAGCAGACAATGCTATGGGCAACGGGCTCAGCTCATCCTGGGGCCACTGGGGACAACGTCCAGCATGCAGCTCAGTGTGACCCCACTCAGGGGCAAGGATACTGGCATTTCTCCACACCCAGCCTCGTGTCGGTTTCCCCATAAACAGACCCCAGGATGAGGATTTCAGGGTATGTGGGTTATCCAGTGGGTGACCCCAGGATGGAGCTGGGGTGGTGAGTCAGGAAGGGAAGGCACCCTGCAGGGGGCGCTAAGGAGCAGGAGCTATCGGGGGACAATGGGTTCTTGTGAGTGTCTGACCTCAGAGAGTTCACACCTGAGAGAGGTCCTACCCATGCGGGAGGCAGCTGGGGCACCTTCCCATCCTTCATGGGTTGGGGGCTCCCTCCCTGCACTTTGGGAGGCTGAGGCTGAGGCAGGTGGATCACCTGAGGTCAGGAGTTCGAGACTGGCCTGGCCGACATGGTGAAACCCCATCTCTACTAAAAACGCAAAAAAATTAGCCGGATGCGGTGGCACGTGCCTGTAATCCCAGCTACTTGGGAGACTGACGCAGGAGAATTGCTTGAACCTGGGAGGCAGAGGTTGCACTCCAGCCTGGGTGACAAGCAAAACTCAGTCTCAGAAACAAACAAACAAAAAACCTCTCTGCCCAGCATGCCCTGCCATTGCTCTCCAGCCATGCTGCAGGCGTCCCAATTATCGGCCTGTAGCATGTGGCAGTGACTGCTCCCAGCATGCCTCGCTCCTAGAGTGCACACCTGTGTATGCCCTCTGTGTCTTCCAGTGGTCTGCGCGCAGGGCTTGCAGGCAAAGGACAAGACGGGATCCAGTGACCCCTATGTCACCGTCCAGGTCGGGAAGACCAAGAAACGGACAAAAACCATCTATGGGAACCTCAACCCAGTGTGGGAGGAGAATTTCCACTTGTAAGTGCTTGGCTAGGTCCTTGGTCCCGTGTGGGACACCCTGCTGGGGCAGCCAAAAGAGGGCTCCAAGCGCAGGACTCACACTGGCCGCCTGACCCCCGCCTCTGCCTCCTCCTCCTGCCACAGTGAATGTCACAATTCCTCCGACCGCATCAAGGTGCGCGTCTGGGACGAGGATGATGACATCAAATCCCGCGTGAAACAGAGGTTCAAGAGGGAATCTGATGATTTCCTGGGGCAGACGATCATTGAGGTGCGGACGCTCAGCGGCGAGATGGACGTGTGGTACAACCTGGGTGAGAGAAGCTGGGTTCTGAAGGGGGTGGGGATGGGTCCCAGGGATCCAGCCAGAACTGGAGCCCATGAAGAGCGGAGAGATGCGTTCTCAGGAGGAGTTTGGTCAAGGACCATAATCTGATGGGGGAGCCAGGGTCTAGGAGCCCAATATGATGGGAGCAGGAAGCACCCATGCCAGGAGGGTGAGCAGAGCCCAGAAACCTCTTAGTTCAGCTTAGAAGGGAGGGTAGGGACAGAATCTCCATGTCCTAGTCTAATGGGGGAGGCAAGAAGCAAGAACTGGGAATCCTAGTCTGAGGGGAGAGACAGAGACCTAGGAACCAAATCTAAGAAAGAAGATTGAGCTTTAAGAATCCTGGCTGGGGCCAGGCATGGTGGCTCACACCTGTAATCCCAGCATTTTGGGAGGCTAAGGCAGGCGGATCAGCAGTTCGAGACCAGCCTGGCTAACATAGTGAAACCCCGTCTCCACTAAAAATATAAAAATTAGTCTGGCGTGGTGTTGGGTGCCTGTAGTCCCAGCTACTCGGGAGGCTGAGGCAGGAGAATCGCTTGAACCCAAGAAGACGAGGTTGCAGTGAGCTGAGATCATGCCATGGCACTCCAGCCTAGGTAACAAGAGCAAAACTCACTCTCAAAAAAAAAAAAGAATCCAGGCTGGGTGCGGCCAGTCACTTGAGTCCAGGAGTTTGAGACCAGCCTGGGCAACATAGTGAAACCCCATCTCTATAAAAGATACAAAAATTAGCTAGGCAGGGTGATACTCACCTGTGGTCCCAGCTACTCTGGAGGCTAAGGTGGGAGGATCACCTGAGCCTGAGAGGTGAAGACTGCAGCGAGCTGTGATCGTACTGCTGCACTCCAGCCCGGGGAAGAGACCTTTTCTCAAAAAACAAATATAGCCGGGTGCAGTGTTTCATACCTATAATCCCAATAGTTTGGGAGGCTGAGGCAGGCAGATCACTTGAGGTCAGGAGTTTGAGACCAGATTGTCCAACATGGCGAAACCCTGTCTCTACTAAAAATAACAAAAATTAGCCGGACATGGTGGCACATGCCTGTAATCCCAGCTACTGGGGAGGCTGAGGCAGGAGAATCGCTTGAACCCAGGAGGCAGAAGTTGCAGTAAGCCGAGATCAAGCCATGCACTCCAGCCTGGGCAACAAAGGGAGACTCCGTCTCAAAAAAAAAGAAAAAAAAATGGAATCCAGGCTGGGCATGGTGGCTCCCACCTGTAATCCCAACACATTGGTTGGGTGGCTGAGATGGGAGGATCACCTGAGCCCAGGAGTTCGAGACCAGCCTGGGCAACACAGCAAGGCCTTTGTCTCCATTAAAAAAAAAAAATAGCTGGGTGTGGTGATGCATGCCTGTAGTCCCAGTCACTTGGGAGGCTGAGGTAGAAGCATCATTTGTGCCTGGGAGGTTGAAGCTGCAGTGAGCTATGATCATGCCACTGCACTCCAGTCTGGGTGACGGAGCGAGACTCTGTGTGCCCCAGACCCCCCCACCACAAGAAAAGAATCCAGTCTAAAGAGGGAGGTATTGTTTGGGAATCCTAATCTGAGATGACTGCTACAGATCCAAGAACCCTGTGTAAAGAAGTTGAGGCCGGGCGCGGTGGCTCACGCCTGTAATCCCAGCACTTTGGGAGGCTGAGGCAGGCGGATCACAAGGTCAGGAGATCGAGACCATCCTGGCTAACACGGTGAAACCCCATCTCACAAAAAAATTAGCCGGGTGCAGTGGTGGGCGCCTGTAGTCCCAGCTACTCAGGAGGCTGAGGCAGGAGAATGGCGTGAACCCGGGAGGCGGAGCTTGCAGTGAACCGAGATTGCACCACTGCACTCCAGCCTGGGCGATAGAGCGAGACTCTGTCTCAAAAAGAAGTTGAGTAGAATCTGGGGAGTCCAATCTAATGGAGGAGGTGGGGTGTATGAGCCTAACCTGAGGGGGTAGAAAGGACCCAGCCTGAGAGAGGTGAGCAGAGTCTGGAAACCTCTTAGGTTGGAGGACATCTAGCTGTCCCATTCTGATGGGGGAGGCGGGAGAAAAGACCAGGGGTCCTAGTCTGAGGAGAGAGGGACAGACCCAGGAACCGTGTCTAAGATGTGTAGTCTCTGGGGAGCATGATTTGATGGGGGAGGCAGGGCCTGGGAGCTCAGACTGGGAAAGAAGCAGGGCCTACGGCTGTTAGTCTAAGGAGAGAGGCACCTACCCAGGAACTTGATCTGAGGAAGCAAGGTCTGGGATCCTTGTTTGAAGGGAGAGACAGGGCTTAAGGAATTCTAGCCTAAGCGGGGAGACTCAAGCCTAGGGAGCCAATCAGAAGAGAGACACCAAGCCCTTAGCTTCCGGAAGTCTGGGAGGACTACAGAATCATGCATCTATTAAAAATTGCCTTGGGAGGCCGAGGCGAGCAGATCACCTGAGGTCAGGAGTTCAAGACCAGCCTGGCAAACATGGTGAAACCCCGTCTCTACTAAAAATAAAAAATTAGTTGGATGACGGATCTCAAAAAAAAAAAAAAAAAAAATTGCCCACGGCTGGCCGGGCGCAGTGGCTCATGCCTGTAATCCAGTACTATGGGAGGCTGAGGCGGGTGGATCAGCTGAGGTCAGGAGTTTGAGACCAGCCTGGCAAACGTGGTGAAACCCCGTCTCTACCAAAAGTACAAAAATTAGCCAGGCATGGTGGCAGGCACCTGTAATTCCAGCTACTCGGGAGGCTGAGACAGGAGAATCGCTTGAACCTAGGAGGTGGAGGTTGCAGTGAGCCGAGATCGCCCCACTGCACTCTAACCTGGGCGACAAGAGCAAGACCCCTCTCAAAAAAAAAAATTGCCCACGGCTGCAGTGGGAAGTTCTGACGCTGTCATCCTTTTCTGCCCTGCAGACAAGCGAACTGACAAATCTGCTGTGTCGGGTGCCATCCGGCTCCACATCAGTGTGGAGATCAAAGGCGAGGAGAAGGTGGCCCCATACCATGTCCAGTACACCTGTCTGCATGAGGTGAGGTTCACTGCTTGGCCCCTCTCATACCACCTCCACTCACCATTCCTGCCTGCCCGGCTCTTCCTCTTTCTGGCCACACTATCCACACTCTCCTGGCCTTCTGAAACTGCCCACCATGCCATTCCCTTTACCTGGAAAACTCCTCACTATTCATCAGGGTCCAGATTCAGGGTCACCTCCTCTGAGAAGCCCTCCTTGGCCTCCAGGTTGACTCTCACTACTCACCATCAGGTTCTTCTTTCTATTCCAGCCCTAACCACTGAGGATTGGGCTGTTTGTGTCTGGGTATGTCTCCTCCAGCTGCCTGGGGTTCCTGGAAAGAACTGTATCCCCAGGAACTAGTTTGTTGAATGAACGCTGGTGAATGAATGAATGATTGAATAGATGAATGAGTGATGAGTAGATAAAAGGATGGATGGAGAGATGGGTGAGTATATGGATGGATAGATGGATGAGTGGGTAGATTTGTGGCTAGATGGGTGATGGATGGATGATCAGATGGATGGATATGTGATTGAACTATTGGAAGTATAGATGTGTGGAAGGGTGAATTTGGGTGTAATTGCTAGATGATGGATGGATATAGATGAATGATGGATGGATAACTTGATGAATGGATAGATAGATTGATGGATAGATGGTTGAATGGGTGGATAGATGAGATGTTGGATGAGCAGGATAGCAAAGATGTATTGGATGGGATGGATGGAAGTGTGGTTGAGTTATTAGAAGGAAGATTGAGTAGATAGGTGAGCTTGTTGATAGTCGGATGGGTAGATAGGTAGATGGATGGATGGATGGATGGATGGATGTACAGGCAGATGGACAAATGGATGAATGGGTGGGTGGGTGGGTGGATGAATGGAAGGATGTATGGTTGAACTATTGCAAGTATTGACAAGTGGGTTCATAATTTCTGAGTATTTAGCTGGATGGTTGTGAGTAGTTGGTGGACAGATGAGGAATAGATGGATGGATGGATAAATTGATGGGTGGATGGATGGTTAGTTGTATGGAAGAATGCATGATTGGACAGGTGGATTAAGTTGTGGATCAATGTATGAGATGGATGGATGGATGGGTGGATGGATGTGTGGTTGAACTACTGAAAGGTTGGAAGAGTGGATGGGTGAAATTTGGGGTAGTTAGATGAGTGGGTATGTGGATGGATGAAACAGTAGATGAATGCATTAATGAATAAACAGGCAGATGGATGACGTAAGCTGCCCCAGACCCTGGGACCTCTGACCCCTGGCGACCGCTGGCACTCTCCATGACACTTTCTCTCCCATGGTGGCAGAACCTGTTCCACTTTGTGACCGACGTGCAGAACAATGGGGTTGTGAAGATCCCGGATGCCAAGGGCGACGATGCCTGGAAGGTTTACTACGATGAGACAGCCCAGGAGATTGTGGACGAGTTTGCCATGCGCTACGGCGTTGAGTCCATCTACCAAGCCATGACGTGAGGCTGCAGGCTGGGGTGCAGGAAACAAGAGGGAGGTCACCAAGTGGGCACTGGCAGGTCTGGGGTGGATTCTCAGGGGGAGGATCCAGAGAGGAAGTGGGCATGGTGGGGGGGGGGGTTCATATTTCCCCTGGAGATCAGGACGGCATTGTGGTTGACACCTGGAGTGACATGGAAGAGAAGGAGGAGTTAGAAGCAGAGATAGAGGCTGGGCATGGTGGCTCAAGCCTGTAATCCCAGCACTTTGGGAGGCCGAGGTGGGCAGACCACTCCAGGTCCAGGAGTTCAAGACCAATCTGGGCAACATGGTGAAACCTCATCTCTACTAAAAATACAAAAGTTATCCAGGTGTAGTGGCGTGCGCCTGTAATCCCAGCTACTCGGGAGGTTAGGGTGGAAGAATCGCTTGAACCCGGGCAGCGGAGGTTGCAGTGAGCCGGGATTGCGCCACTAAACTCCAGCCTGGGTGACAGAGTGAGACTCCATCTCAAAATAAATAAATAAGAAGCAGAGTTAGAGCAACTCAAATGAATATAAAGATGAAGGGGAGAGGAGATGCAGAGACCCAAAGGACAGAATCAGGCAGGGGATGGCTTGGGAGGTGACAGAGACCCACTCACAGATGCTATCTTGGAGGCATTCTAGGGGGGATCTTGGTCCATCCCAGCTGGACCCCTGGCCCAGTGCCTCCTGCTCCCTCTCTCCAGCCACTTTGCCTGCCTCTCCTCCAAGTATATGTGCCCGGGGGTGCCTGCCGTCATGAGCACCCTACTCGCCAACATCAATGCCTACTACGCGCACACCACCGCCTCCACCAACGTGTCTGCCTCTGACCGCTTCGCCGCCTCCAACTTTGGGGTCAGTCCTGGGGACTGGGACTGGAGAATGAGGGCGAGCCCAACCTTATGCCGGTCAGATCTGATGTGACTCCTGGATCCCCAGTCTAGACCAGACTGCTGTGTGACTTTCCACCCATCACTTCCCGTCTCTGAGCCTCCATTTACTCCTCTGTAGATTACTTTAGAATGGAGGCCGGGCGCGGTGGCTCGCGCCTGTAATCCCAGCACTTTGGGAGGCTGAGGCGGGTGGATCACCTGAGGCCAGGAGTTTGAGACCAGCCTGGCCAACATGGTGAAAACTTGTCTCTACTAAAAATCCAAAAGAAAATTAGCCGGGGGTGGTGGCCTGTGCCTGTAGTCCCAGCTACTTGGGAGGCTGAGGCAGGAGAATTGCTTGAGCCTGGGAGTTGGAGGTTGCAGTGAGCCAAGATTGCGCCACTACACTCTAGCCTGGGCAACAGAGCAAGACTCTGTCTCAAAAAAAAAAAAAAAAAAAAGAATACTATAGAATGGAAATGGACATTACAAGGGTGGTGGATGAGGTATACTTAGTGTACAGTAGGCGCTCAGCCAGTATGGCGGCCATGTCCTGCTCCATCCATCCTCCCTCCTCCCCTTCCTCCTCAGAAAGAGCGCTTCGTGAAACTCCTGGACCAGCTGCATAACTCCCTGCGGATTGACCTCTCCATGTACCGGGTAGGAAGCACGTGCAGGAGGATTTGCTCACCCTGTGTACGTGTGTGTGCCTGGAGGGGGAAGCTACCAGCAGGTGTGTGCATGGGAGGATGCATCTTCACGTGTACGGTGTGTTCCTCCGGCGTGTGTGCACCTGCATGGGCACTACCTGCCCTAATGTGCTTGGTGCGTCCAAGCAGATCCCCAGTTGCTTCGAGGTGCTCTAATCAACCCCAAGCCTGAAACCAGGAAGCCTTTTTATCCCCCTGAAAAGCAGTCTCTCATCCTCCCCCAACCTTCTTCCATAACCCCACCTCTCTTCCTGCTTCCCACAGAATAACTTCCCAGCCAGCAGCCCGGAGAGACTCCAGGACCTCAAATCCACTGTGGACCTTCTCACCAGCATCACCTTCTTTCGGATGAAGGTAGGAAAGGATCCAGTTGTATTTGCCCTCCAAGGAGGGTTCTCTAGGATTCCCAGTTCCAGGACAAGTGACATTCCTCCTGGGGAGTGGCAACCTTTCTCAGTAACCTTCCTTCATACCACTTCATTTCCTTAAATCCAAAATGACTTGCAGTCACTTCCTGGGGACCTCCTGTCACAGCTGTGGCCGCCTGTGCCTCTCTCCCTCCCTTCAGGTACAAGAACTCCAGAGCCCGCCCCGAGCCAGTCAGGTGGTAAAGGATTGTGTGAAAGCCTGCCTTAATTCTACCTACGAGTACATCTTCAATAACTGCCATGAACTCTACAGCCGGGAGTACCAGACAGACCCGGTGAGACTCCAGATGGGTCGAGGAACAGTGACGCCAACTACACACAGGCTTAAGTCCCAGCACTGCCCCTTCCCGAAGGATTTAACTCTTCTGAACCTCAGTATCTTATTCTATAAAATGGGGTCATTAACCCACATCTCAGGATTAGGGAGAAGAGTTCATGAGCTATAAGTTTTATTTATTTATTTATTTATTTATTTATTTATTTATTTATTTATTTATTTTTTTGAGATGGAGTCTCGCTCTGTCACCCAGGCTGGAGTGCAGTGGCGCGATCTCGGCTCACTGCAAACTCCACCTCCCGGGTTCACGCCATTCTCTTGCCTCAGCCTCCCGAGTAGCTGGGACTACAGGCGCCCGCCACCACACCCGGCTAATTTTTTGTATTCTTTGGTAGAGACGGGGTTTCACCATGTTAGCCAGGATGGTCTCAATCTCCTGACCTTGTGATCCGCCCATCTCGGCCTTCTAAAGTGCTGGGATTACAGGCGTGAGCCACCGCGCCCGGCCGTGAGCTATAAGTTTAGATAAAATATAGTAGGCACTCAGTACACTTGGCTGCATAGTTGAGTTTGGCATTAAAAAAATGGATTTTTTGAGATGAAGCTTCACTCTTGCTGCCCAGGCTGGAGTGCAGTGGTATGATCTCAGTTCACTGCAACCTCCGCCTCCCAGGTTTAAATGATTCTCCTGCCTCAGCCTCCTGAGTAGCTGGGATTATAGGTGCCCACCACCATGCCTAGCTAATTTTTTGTATTTTTAGTAAAAACGGGGTTTTACCATGTTGGCCAGGCTGGTCTCGAACTCCTGACCTCAGATGATCCACCTGCCTTGGCCTCCCAAAGTACTGAGATTATAGGCATGAGCTACCATGCCCAGCCTGGCATAAAAATTTATGTCTAGCATACAGTCACTGTTCAGTAAATGTTGAGTTAAATTGAATTTATTTATTTATTTATTTATTTATTTATTTATTTATTTATTTATTTTGAGATGGGGTCTCACTCTGTTGCCCAGGCTGGAGTGCAGTGATGCAATCATAGCTCACCGCAGCCTTGACCTCCCAGGCTCAAGTGGATCCTCCCACCTCAGCCTCCCAAGTGGCTGGGACTATAGGTATGCGCCACCATGGCAGGCTAATTTTTGTATTTTTGTAGAGATGGCATCTCACTATGTTGCCCAGGCTGGTCTCCTGGGCTCAAGTGATCCTCCTGCCTCAGCCTCCCAAAGTGCTGAGATTACAGGCATGAGCCACCACCTGTAAGGAGCTTATAGCCTATCATGAGGGAAAGATGTACGGACTGGAAATTTACAAACAGGGATGGTTAGTATTGAGATAGTGGGATCTCAGGAGGCTGTGGGAACTGGAGGCAGCCCCTACCTAGGTTCTGATAGGATATAATACATAAGCTGTGTTCAGTTCAATTTGATTTCATTCTGTTCCTTTACATTCAGTTGACTAGAGTTGGAATCAGTCTCGCTCTCATTTGAACTGAGTTGAGGTGAACTGGATTAAATTAGATTGTTTACTTCAACCATAATCAGTTTAGTTCTATTTATTTCTATTTGGTTGACTTAAGTTAAAATTGTTCTTGACAAATTAGTGAGCCAGGCTGGGCTCAGTGGCTCACACCTGTAATGTCAGCACTTTGGGAGGCTGAGGCAGGAGGATCCCTTGAGGCCAGGAGCTCGAGATCAGTTTGGGCAACATAACGAGACCCTCTCTTTGCAAAATATACAAAAATTAGCCAGGTATGGTGGCACACGTGTAGTCCTGGCTACTTCGGAGGCTGAGGTGGGAGGATCACTTGAGCCCAGGAGTTTGAGTCTATGTTGAGCCATGATTGCACCACTGCACTCCAGCCTGGGTGACAGAATGAGACCCTGTCTCTTGAAAGAAAAAAAAAAAAAAATAGTAAGCGGAACCAAGTTGGTTGATTGCACTGAGTTTTACTGAGTACAAATTCATTCATTTCCATTTAGTTCATTTACAGTCAAGTCAGGTTGTTCTCAACTGGGTTAAATTGTCTTGCGTTAGGATGAACTGGGTTGTTAGATTAGATGCAATTGATTTCAGTTGAATTGAGTTGAATTGGGCTAATTTCCGCTGATTACACTCATTTCCATTGATTAACGAAAGTTGGGTTGAATTGCCCTTCGTATGTGAGGTTGGATTTAGATAGGTAGAATCGGATTGGGTTGACTTGGGTAGAGTTCAGTTCAAGTTGATTTATTTCCATTATTTTGATTTGAGTTGATGTTGATCTTGGACAAGTTGATTAGGTTCAATCCAATGGAGTTCATTTGAGTTTAATTCAATCTAGTTAGGTTGAATTGCACTCCATTCAGCGTAATTGGCCCCAGTTCAATTCCATTGATTTCACTCTGAGGAAGAACTTATTTCCGTTAAGCTAAGTGGGCTTGATTTGCATTCATTTCATTTCCATTTGGTTTAGTGGAGCTGGATTTGTTCAACTAAATTTGATTTCACTTATTTCCATTCAGTTTTAGAGTGGAGTCTAAAAATCTTAAGCTTTATCTCGCTGCATTGACATGAGCTCTGTTTGGGCCAGTTTATGAGTTCAGTTCCTCTCTATATAGACTTCTTACCTGAACCATATACATGTTAATAGGATGCATTCCTCAACAACCTCTTGTTCTTCAGTAATAAACTGACGGAGGCACCAACCTCTGGACCCCCTATAACCGAGGTCTCCACTGCCCATTTCAGGCCAAGAAGGGGGAAGTTCCCCCAGAGGAACAGGGGCCCAGCATCAAGAACCTTGACTTCTGGTCCAAGCTGATTACCCTCATAGTGTCCATCATTGAGGAAGACAAGAATTCCTACACTCCCTGCCTCAACCAGTGAGTTGCGTATCTGTGTAGTTTAATTATCTGGGTGTCATCATGTGTTCGTATACAACTTTGTGTCTTGTGTGTCAAGGTGATTTTCTCTAATTCCACAAATGTGCACCTGGGGGTAATTGTGGGTCGGATTGTGCCTGTGCAAAATTCAAATATGGGTACAATTTGCAAACAGAAACATAAAATTGTGTGTATGTTCACAATCACTGGTATAATCAGACATGTATTTTGTGTGTATTCATTTGCATGAATAACAGTGTGTACATATGTATATAATTTTGTGTGTGTGTGTAGGTTAATAATAATGTTGCTCGGCCGGGCGCGGTGGCTCACGCCTATAATCCCAGCACTTTGGGAGGCCGAGGCAGGTGGATCACGAGGTCAGGAGATCGAGACCATCCTGGCTAACGTGGTGAAACCCCGTCTCTACTAAAAATACAAAAAAATAGCCAGGCGTGGTGGTGGGCGCCTGTAGTCCCAGCTACTCGGGAGGCTGAGGCAGGAGAATGGCAGGAATTCAGGAGGCGGAGCTTGCAGTGAGCTGAGATGGCACCACCGCACTCCAGCCTGGGCAACAGAGCGAGACACGGTCTCAGAAAAAAAAAAAAAACAATAATAATAATAATAATGTTGCTCTGGCCAGGCGCGGTGGCTCAAGCCTGTAATCCCAGCACTTTGGGAGGCCGAGACGGGCGGATCACGAGGTCAGGAGATCGAGACCATCCTGGCTAACACGGTGAAACCCCGTCTCTATTAAAAAATACAAAAAACTAGCCGGGCGAGGTGGCGGACGCCTATAGTCCCAGCTACTCGGGAGGCTGAGGCAGGAGAATGGCGTAAACCCGGTAGGCGGAGCTTGCAGTGAGCTGAGATCCGGCCACTACACTCCAGCCTGGGCGACAGAGCGAGACTCTGTCTCAAAAAAAAAAGTTGCTCAAGTATTACTATGTGCTACCCTAACACATATCGTACATTTAAATTGCATTATATCTTACACATGTGGATGTAAGCAATTTTGTATATTGCGGTCAATGGGTTTTGGGTTTAATTTGTACATGTGTAAAATTGTTCAATGCACTTCAACAATATTACAATATACAATATTATATACAATATTGTGTATTGTGTATGAATATGTGCACTGTTTTCGTTTGTGGATTTATATGTCTGTAGCATTTTCATCTGTGTTAGCTGAATGGACTACTCTGTTCTATTTATCCGCCAGATGAGTGCTAGAGAGGACTCAAGCTTTGGGGTGTTAACATATCCTGATTAGGGAATTAAGATCAGGGATTTGGATGGACTGAAGTGTGGGTGGATGAAAGGATGGATGGATGGACAGATGGATGAGTAAATGGATGGGTGGATAGCTGGATACGTGAGTAAATAAATGGATAAAGGGATGGACGGATAAGTGGATGGATTAATAGATAGATGGGTCATTTAATGGATGGGTGGATAGTTGTATGAGTGGGTGAATGAATGGATAGAGGGATGGATAAATAAGTGGATGATGGAAGGATGGATGGATAGATGGACGAACAGATAGATGGGTAGGTGTATGGATGGATAGTTGGATGAATGGGTGGAGGGATAGATGGATGAACAGATAGATGGGTGGTTGAGTGGATGGATGAATATTTGGATGAATGAGTGAATGAATGGATGGATGGAGGGATGGATGAATGGATGAATAGATAAATGGATAGGTGAATGGATGGGTGGATAGTTGCATAAGTAGGTGAATGAATGCATAGAGGGATGGATGGATGGATGGATGGATGAATAGATAGATGGGTAGGTGGATGGATGAATATATAGACGGGTAGGTGGATGGATGGATAGTTGAATGAATGGGTAGAGGGATAGATGGATGAACCGATAGATGGATGAACAGATAGATGGGTAGTTGAGTGGATGGATGAATAGTTGGATGAATGAGCAAATGAATGGATGGAGGGATGGATGGATGGGTGGATGAATAGATAGATGGATAGGTGAACGGATGGGTGGATAGTTGCATAAGTAGGTGAATGAATGGATAGAGGGATGGATGGATGGATGGATGGATGGATGGATGGATGGATGGATAGATATATGGGTAGGTGGATGGATGGATAGTTGGATGAATGAGTGAAGGGACAGATGGATGAACAGATAGATGGATGAACAGATAGATGGGTGGTTGAGTGGATGGGTGAAGGGATTGGATGAATGAGTGGATGGAGGGATGGATGGATGAATAGATACATGGATAGGTGAGTGGATGGGTGAATAGTTGCATAAGTAGGTGAATGAATGGATAAAAGGGACAGATGGGTGGGTGGATGGATGAATAGATACATGGATAGGTGGTGGATGGGTGAATAGTTTGCGTAAGTAGGTGAATGAATGAATAGAGACAGATGGATGGGTGGATGGATGAATAGATAGATGGGTAGGTGGATAGATAGATAGTTGCATGAGTAGGTGAATGAATTGAGGAAGGAAGGATTGGATGGGTGGATGGATGAATAGATAGATGGGTACATGGATGGATGGATAGTTGCATGAAGCGGGTGACGAATGGATAGAAGGATGGATGGATGGATGAATAAATTAGTTGTTGAATATATGGGTGGATAGTTGCATGAGTGGATGAATGAATGAATGGAGGGACAGATGGATGAGTGGGTGGAAGCTCAAAGAGAAGCAAAGCCTTAGCACAGAGTCAGTCAACAGTGGCTATGAGGGAACCTGAACCCCAATCCCTCTACCCTACCCTACACTCCCCTGTGGGGCAGGGAAGGACAAAGCAGCCCATCCCATCTGCCTTCTGCCTGCCAAAGTTTTGCTCCTTCCCACCACTTTGTGAGTTTCCAGGAGCTGAATGTGGGCAGGTAAAATCAGCGCTGAAGTGATGTGTGGAATCTGTTTGCCAAGATTATGAAGTATGCCATGGAGGTGAGTTTCCCACCCCAGTGTTCCCCAGCCTGGCCACACAGGTGGCACACCTCTGCATCCCCTCCAAGGCTGTGATGCCCTGTACCCTCATGCCTGAGTTACGGACATCAGTGATGGCCAGAGTGGGCAGCCTCTCTGCCGAGACACAGGGTGGCAGACCCTTCCAGCTGTGCCACCCTCTTTGTCCCGGCCGGAAACCCACGACAAGCATCGTCTATGCAAAATTGCCGACTACATGAACCTCCACTTCAGTGAAATAGCTCTACAATGAGTATGTGTGGAACTTCCCTCCTTCAAGGACCGCGTGCCTGAGTACCCTCACGTAAAGTCCCCGCCCCAAGCCCAGCCCAAGTCAGAACTGTAGCGCTGACAGCTAGAAGGAAAGCCAGAGAGGAGGACTGACCTACTCAGGGTTACCTGGGCATCAGGGGGCACAGGTGGGGCTTGAATCAGTGTTCTCCACTCTCAGCCATTGAGCAGTTGACTCCTACAGCCCAGAAAATTCATTTTGTTTTATCCTTTTGACAATTCTATGAGTTAAGGTGGGATCGTTTTAATTCCTATTTTGCGGAGAAGACATTGGAAGTTAAAGAGCCAAATGGCCGGGCAGTGGCACATGCCTGTGTCCGATAACTTGGGAGGCTGTGGTAGGAGGCTCACTTAGCCCAGGAGTTCGAGACCAGCCTGGACAAGATCGTGAGATCCCATCTCTAAAATGAGCAAATGGATCAGGCATGATAGCTTGTACCTGTAATCCCAGGATTTTGGGAGTCCGAGGCGGGCAGATCACCTGAGGTCAGGAGGTTTAAGACAGCCTAGCCAATAGGCCAAAACCTAGCTCTACAAAAAGTACAAAAATTGACCAGGCACAGTGGCTCATGCCTGTAATCCCAGTACTTTGGGAGGCCAAGGCGGGTGGATCATCAGAGGTCAGGAGTTTGAGACCAGCCTGTGTGCTGGTGAGACCCTGTCTCTACTAAAAACACACACAAAAAATAGCCGGGTGTAGGGGCAGGTGCCTGTAGTCCCGCTGCTTGGGAGGCTGAGGCAGGAGAAGTGCTTGAATCAGGCGGAGGTTGCAGTGAGCCGAGATCGCGCCAGTGATCTTGGGGCGGCAGAGTGAGACTCCGTCTCAAAAAAAAGAAAAAAAAAAAAAACTGGCTGGTGGTGGCTCACACCTGTAATCCTAGCACTTTGGGAGGCCGAGGCGGGTAGATCACAAGGTCAGGAGATGGGGTGCATCCTGGCTAGCACCGTGAAACCCTATCTCTACTAAAAATATAAAAAAGATTAGCCGGGCGTGGTGGCAGGTGCCTGTAGTCCAGCTACTTGGGAGGCTGAGGCAGGAGAATGGCGTGAACCCCGGGGGGCGAAGCTTGCAGTGAGCCAAGATCACGCCACTGCACTCCAGCCTGAGTGACAGAGTCAGACTCCGTCTCAAAAACAAAAAAATTAAAGAAAGAAAAGAAAAAGTATCCGGGTGTGGTGGCACACGCCTGTAGTCAGCTACTTGAGAAGCTGAAGCAGCAAGGACCACTTGAACCCAGGAGGCAGAGGTTACAGTAAGCGGAAATGGTATCACTGCACTCCAGCCTGGGCAACAGAGTGAGACTCCATCTCAGAAATAAATTAATATAAACATAGAATGAATGAGTGAATAAATGCCAAATGCCTTGCCCAAGGTGACTCCTAGTACATGACAGACCCGAGATTTGAACTCGGGACATCTGACTCCTGGGCTGTGTGTTGGAGGATAGTATGGTACCACCAGTTCCTCAGAATTGTGCTGTGTGGAATTCGTTCCTGCTCCCAACAGCACAGAGGATAGTCTTCTGTTGTACAAGAAATCGCTCTGGCTGGGTGCGGTGGCTCATGCCTGTAATCTCAACATTTTGGGAGACGAAGTGGGAGGATCACTTGAGGCCAGAATTCCAAGACCTGCCTGGGCAACATAGGGGAAATCTATCTTTACAAGAAGACAAAAAAAAAAAAAAAAAAATTAGCCAGGAATGGTGGCACGTGCCTGTAGTCCCAGTTACTTGGACTGAGGTGTGAGG